AACGAAACAATTTTTTCGTGTCACAAGATACGGTCATGTTTTCGTCTTCATTTGATGAAACTTCTAACGATAAATAATTTATACTTCTATTAAACTGGAACAAAAACAAATGTTTTTTATTTAGAAAATTACTTTGGACCCAATACATCAAAGATACTTAAAAAGTTTATAAGCAAGTCTTGCTGCGTTTGAATCAATTCTGCGGAGAAACGCTGACAAGTGATGATGACTTCGTTGTCAACTGACTAATATTTTTACCTCATTGCATGAAAATTGCGCCTCAGTAATTAATCGCAAAAATCATTAAAACGCTTTGATTTCTACTTACGTAGATGCGTGGGGTTATTACAATTCATGCAAAAGTTCTAGTTCTTTCTCCGTGCAATGATAGCATAAAATGTTTTTATAACTCTTTTTCCAAACACTGCACTGTTTAGACGGAAAAAGAAACAAACAAATTATTTTTCGGAACTTCTTCTCTGTAAAATTTCCTGTATTGTCGGGCAGTTATCAAATTTCTCGTTATCAATCACAATCAATGTTTCTGAATAAAGCAATGTCTGTTTTTTTTTTTTAAACGGAAAAATGTTGAAACTAGATCTGTTTCAGCTAACTCCCCATGTGCTAATACATTTTTTTCATAGCCATATGTCAGGAGAATCGTTCACTGAAATGCAAATTCGAAATGCCGTTTTTGCACAAGTTTTTCTCCTAGATTCTTTGGAACTAAATTTAAAGTAGGCGACTAAGAGAGCCTCACAGGGACAAGGGTAAAAATTGGTTTAATTTGCACTGGAAATATAAGTCAGCGGAATTCATATTAACGGAGACGTTATGGAGTGAAGCTGTTCATATTCAAATACTTTGTGCAAAACATTTAATTACCCCCAACCATACAAATGTATCTAAAGCAGCATTCAAATCTCATTGCAAATTATGAAAGATTCTTACGAATACAGTACAATAACTTGAGGGACGAAGAACTTGTTGGAGTTTTATGGATGCTTTTCTCGTCAAGAAATCACCTGAAGCATTCAATTCAGAGAAAGACAACAATTTTGGCAGATTATATTTGTTGTTTCATTTAATTTGTGGTTTCTATCACAGCGAAAAAACCTGTAAGTGGTCGGAAGTGGCCGGGGTTTGGAAGTTTTTCGGATGTGGTCGGAAGTGACCGGAAGTTGTCGGGCTCGACAAAGCGTGTTCGGGTGTGGGCGGACGTGGTCGGAAGTTTTTAAAAGTGGTCGGAGTGGGCAGGAAATCATCGGAAGCAACTGCCTTGGGCGCTATTACCGATCACTACAGGGCATTAAATTGTAACAGTTATTTGTTGTGTGAACGCAGGATACATTCTGATTAAGCTGCATTTCCATCGGCATCAGTATCCTCACTTTATTAAAAACGATCAATTTTGTCCGCCATCAAACGATGAATTTCTAGGAAAGCGTTATTTTTCTATCTGTCATCGTTGTTTCATCGTGTAGGCGTATTTTTCGATGCAGTTCTTAATTTAAACCTGGCTCAGGGTTATTTTTTGTGTGGTGTTCATTTGGATGCTGGGGGTTTACCATTCGATTGGTGTTTGGACATCTGAGTTTGAGGCCGCGAGGTAACGTTTAAAATTTAACTATTTCGATTTCTAAGGATGTAACTCACGCTATTTATTTTTCTTCTTTTACTTTGTTTACCGTTACAAAAATGTGGATAAATTAAGAGAAGATACAAATTTTTTGCACGGGAAAATACAAAAATTACTGCAGAGTTTTGAGTGGAGAGAAATCATTCGGAGTGCAAAACGAAAAACTTGAAATTTTTAAGTTAGAGTTTTCAAAGCAACTGAACGGCGATCTGGAAATGTTTTCGGTTAAATCTGTAAAGCGCGCTTAAATAAACAACACTCCTTCAGTGGCTCAAAAACGTTTTTGATCTCCTAGCATGCCAGAAGCTTGAAACATTCAGCCCAAACTTATCACTTTGGTTATTATTCATTGATCCGTTTTTTAAGCTTCTTCATCTTTGGTCATCTTTGTTACTATTTGATCTATGTTTAAATTTCTTGTCTTTCCTTCTTCGTAAGCTGATGTTTAACAGTCGTCCTCGAGCTAAATATTGTTCAGCGGGGTGAAAGGAAAAAAGTTCAAAATAGATTCATGTACCTCATATGATTAGTAACGGATGAACGGGTTTTCCCTCAGTATTATGTTAGTACAAGATGTGTTATTTTTAGGCTCAGAGGGTAGTCTCAAAGCCGCGGGTACTTCGATGCGCCTGCAATCCAACACAGCGGTCTAACGGTTGCGCATGTTCAAACGTTGTGATGACTAGGTGGCGTGCTTTCAGGCGGTCAAAGACAAGTTTTCACACGCTTGTTACAAACAACCATTCAAGCCAGTAAGTCACGGTGTTTCAAAAGCGTATAACAAATTTTGTGATATTTAGATAACAAGATAATCTTACTGGCATAAGCTTTGTGTTTAAAACGTGTCGATTTCCTCTTTTAACAACTTTTGCTTCCTTCTACAAAATTCCATCCTCTTTTGCTTAAATTTCCAAAAATTTTCCTTCGAAATTTTTTTCGCGGGAAATTGGCGGGGGCCGGTCAGAACTGATCTCTTTGCACATACCCGACGTTTGACCGCTGTGCTTCACGGTCTCCTGTGCACGACGGCGGCTGTGTAATAGATCGCGGCCACACCGCAGCACCCACGGCTGGAGACACTCAGCGGTGAAACGTCTGCATACGAGGCAGGCGGACATGGTGCTCTCTCGCCTAACAGCCTCACAAATTATGTAACGGTGTTTTAAAACCGTATAACTTTTTTGATAAAGCTCAAAGGAAATTGATAAATTTACACATTACCCGCAGTTCAAGAAAAGTTCAGTTCGAAAAGTCACAAGTTCCCCCTTTCCTATCCTCTGTATCCTTTTACAAAATCGAATGCGCATATCAATCTATGTTCGTGAATCTGGCGTAACAGTGTTACGAGTGACAGTACCTTTTCCGCAAACTTGACAGCCTTAAAGTATGCCTAGAAGCCATTACAACGTTCGCACACGCGCAGAAGCTAAATTGCTGGGTTGTAAAAGTATTACCTCGTCGGATAGCGTGAGGACTTTTTTTTTTTTCGATAAAAACCACTTCGAAAGGATAGGAAATGCATTTCTTCCGCGAAAATTTTGAATGCCAAGCCCTAATGAAACATACTTCGGTTTCCTTCTAAAACTCAAAATAATTTTAGTGGCATCGACACAGCCAACGCCCTAATTGTAGCTCCTCAGTGGCGTAGTTAGGGGGCTCTTGGAATGGCCGTGACCTCCACTTCCTTGATGAGATGACTTGTGTTGGAATTCACCAATATACAAACCTTGTGGTGGCGAAAAAGCTCAAATCCTAGCTAAGAGTCTCAATGCAACGAATCATTTAATGCGCGTCCAATAAAATGTGAATTTAACCAACACATGGCGAGAAACTCGACACGATAGCCGAGTGGCAATTCCGAGCAGTTGAGAGCGACATAGCGTAACCTTCCCTTTGAAAAAAATCTTAGCTTCGCCTCTGCTCTCTGTCTTCTCATTTACTCTCCGGAAGGAAATGTAATATCATCGCGCTAAGTCCTGTAAATGTTTTGATAAACATTTTAGCAAATTACTGTCAAGCGGAAACGGACCTTTGATTTCGGCAGGTGATTCATTCATCGTTTTTGCCCCAATCAAATTCAAACAAACGCCGTAAATGGAAGAAAAATTACCAATAAACGCTACTTTCGTCTAACAGACGCACCTAATCAGAGGAATGCTTGCGTTTTGTTGACGATTATGAAATGAAAACAAAGTAACAACTTGAAGTATGGTAGGAATCAGTTATCTACATCATCCGTAGAAATTTGGATAAAAAAAGCCAGACATGGGAACTATGAACAAGTTTCTGTTACACAAAAAGGAAAACAGATTCAAATGATCTGCCATCATTGTTGTCGACGAGTTAAGAAATATGATTTTGAAGTAAACACCGCCCTCGAATAACCTCCGCCCTTGAATAGACGCCGTGTCGAAAACGTGAAAAAAGCAGTACACGTTGGGGCATTTAATTGCGTAGATAGGTTCTAATTTAATCTGTTAGTTTCAGGCACCGAACGGTTTGGATTTTTTTAGTTGTTGATGGCGGACGTGATAGTGAAAATCGACAACGGAGTCCCTCTAGTGTAACATTCTAGTCCCGATCATAGTCATCGTGTGTCAACGTTAAACTAGCATAGCAGCAAATTGTGTGTCATAACTAGAGTACCGCAAATATTATCTCTAATTGAAGCCTTGCCGCACTCAGAAGTGAAGATTGTAACACCTATGGATTTTTGTGACCTGTTTTTAATGTTCGAATTATTAACCTCTCAGAAAAGTCGCCTCAACCACTTCTTCCACCACTTTGAAAAAATCCCTGGTTGACTGATGACTGGTGAAAGAGAGCTTTTTTAAATCAAATATTCGGAAAAGGTATCTGCAAAAAAGCAGCTTAGTCAATTATCTAAACTCCCCGTGGTCTGAACTGTTGAGATTGAATAGAATGGCAAAGTCCCAATTTAAATCAATTAGAGTCCTAAGAGTCGCACCACTGCGAAAGCGCTGATATCATGGGTTTAAAACTTAAGGACACGCACATAGAAAATTTAGCCAAGAGCAGCCTTAAATTTAAAGATTAAAATACCGTACAGATATACTGTATACGTAGGTTGTAAGAAAATCCTTTAAGAGCTTCAAACATCCTTTAGGTTTGCCGGCATAACTGATATGGTCATGTGAGCCTTGCAAAATTCGGTACTTTTATACAAAAAGACCTTTCATATATAAAACTGATCATGAGATAAAAAAAAAAAAACCATAAAGGGATTTGTCTGGCTAAAAAAATATTTTTAGAGATTAGTGTTTTAAACCGCTGAAATAAGTACAGCAAATCAGGTGGCATAAATAAAATGACAAAAATGAAAAAGTAAACATAGTTTGACTATAAAACACGCATGTTAACTAAGTAGAACGCACTTGATTGATTCATGGTTTTGTGGTTTCACCGTCTATGTTGATGTCACAGTTTGTTTTCAGAGCTGCACAATATCAGGTACTGCCTTGCATATGTATATATATTCTTTATGTAATTTTGCATCTGTTTTCGTTGTAACAGTTGTATATATCATGTCCGATATGTTTTCATTCTTCATTTCTTTGCCTGTCATTGCAAAATTCTGTCAAAAGCGTCAAGGAAATATGAGTAATTATCCACGCCCTGTTAGATAATTCTTCGTGTTCTTAACCATCAGGAAAGCCTTTTTTCAGAGCAGCGACGCCCCCAAATTTTTCTTCCAGCTGGCAAACATTTGTTACACGAATAAGAGAGACATTTACGATTTTTCTTTCTTTGTAAACGACTAAATGATAATAACGACTCTGTCCTCGATAGATCGCCATACCCCCTTGTTCGTTCGACTTATGGACAATAGTGTTTCAACATCTGTTAGACATGCAAATTTTTCGCCCAAGTTTCGTACAAGAATCGAGGTACGTTAAGGCCGGAGCCTATCCTCAGTGGTTTGACCCGGGTTAGCAGTTGATACCTTTAACTTTACATTAATAGCACTAAAATTTATTTCGATTTGCAAGAGAAAGTTGCACACTTGAGCTCCTCATTGCACGGGTCTAATCACCTCAGACACAATTATCGTATTCAGTTACTCGTGCTTTTGTTTACTCTATCCCCTACGTCGTGGATATTTCCAAGCATATTCTACTTCTGATTTTCTGTCTTGTAATGGTATGTTTTTTTACGCCCAAAGGTCCTGTTACAACAGAATGTTCATTGCTTTATTGCAAGTTCTGTGCGTGTGAGACAACAGGCGGCAAACAAATCTTTTTCCCGCCATTTCGGGTAGCGTGTCCAGTTTATGACGCATTCACGCCCCTCTGTGTCGATGCTACTTGAAAAGTTAGAGTGCAAAAAATTGAGGTTCGTCGTTTGCAATCCGTGCAAATTTCCTCTATCTTTTGACATCTTTATTTGTTAATGGTTTTATATTTCTTCCGTGGTGTTTTTCTAACTCCCAAACCTTTTTCTCTGAGATTATCTCCTTATTGAAAGCCTAATTTTTCGCGCTTCGAAAACAACAGCAGCGACAGAATTGGGATTTAATGAAATGTGAATTCTCTTTGTTTAAATTATGGCGAATCTGGAATGAATATCATATAGCCAAAAGCCAGCTAATCAGACCACCCAATCAGCATGAAAGAAAATATCTTAAGAAGACAACTTGCGAGCAAGTGTGCATGGTCTTAGCGAGGGAAAGCACAAGCGATCAAATTATTTTTACTTCTGTGGTGTTAGTGACATATCTGATTGGCTGAGAGGGTGCTGCGTAATTTTTGCACCAATCACAGGGCGAAATAAAGTAAAACCAACTCGGATTATTTTCGACACCAAGGTAACGTGTCGACACTCGATCAGGAAAATTTATGCCCGTTTTTATGGCTCCCGAGGCCAGGACTGTCCTCGGTAAAATCAACTTGTGGCCTTTGAACAATCAAAGGTTTTTGTCGGTGCTTTGATTCAATGCAGCTGCCATTCGAGATGGCTGTAAATTTAGTCTTTGGGTGAAGCTACAGGGGGCAAATTATAAGGAAAATCTCCTAGATGATTTTCGCGTGGTTCTTGTTGTAATATGCATTTGTAATAATGCTTAATCCAAAAAAGAAAAAAAAAAAAAAAAAAAGACTTTGTAAGCTGATGGTCATTCACAGAGGGCCTTTTGTTGGCGTGTTATCTTTTGAATGATATATGATAACTGAATATCCTCAAACGTGACCCATGTTCCCAGAAGAAACTAAACACATACTGATCCTGGCATCCACAGATTGCAAAATTTCACGTTTAGCTTGGACTAAACAGCGCAAAGCACTATAGCGAAAGTTTTGCGGCTTACTGTAATAACTTTTGTTCCTGCATATATATATATATATATTTATAGAACTTTAAATGTCATTTATAAATCATTAATGCCACCGTTAATTGCTATTTGTGCCTTCCTCGCGTGGTTCCTCTCGCGCGCAGTCTCCACGCTTCGGTTGCTCTCTGGAGTGTCCCTCGTTAGAAAGTATATTTGACAACTCTCGGATTGCAAGGCAAACAATCTATCATCCACCTTTTTTAATTTTGGCAATTTTTCCAGTAAGGTTTCAGATTTGGTTATCCTCAAATTAAGACAATAAGTCGCTCTCCAAAGTTCAGATTTGCCAGGTCACTCTTGACCCGTGGATGAAGATTCGCATGCACGCTTCTCCTAAAAGGCCTTATCCCTCTTTGCCACCGGAAGAGATTTGTTTTTAGAATAAAGTAGAGAAGGAATTTTTATTACTTTGATCAGCAAACTGAGATACAATGCCATTGCGGTACACATCTGACTCAGTAGAGGAGGGAGAGTGTAATCGTGGCGACAGATTAAACTTTCGTGACCTCAAAGCTGATAAAATTCTTTTGTTAGACGCGGAGAAAAATAACACCATCAGTATTATTTTATTTGTGGACAAAGCGCAAGTTTAGCTTCTTTATTCAGGTGAGGGTAAGTTTCTTAAATTTGGCCACTCGCTTTGGTTACCTTTGGAGGATAAGCGGTTGTTTCGGGGTTTCCTTGGCGATCAATAAATTTTTGTTAAGTAATGATAACAAAAACCTACAAATGCACAGCCGATTTATCAACTTCGACATGTAACAAAGCTTTAGGTTTGGTAATGTAACGGACACGTCTCTTGTCTGATAGCTAGTCTGCACAGGGTGATCTTATGTCTTTAATGGCGAGTTTCATTTAGCATCGTAAATTGGGTCGAGGACGAACGAGACGATATTGACATACGAAGTCCTGACGTTGACTTGAAATTCGAGTTGATTGCCGGTAAAAAGGTGAAAACTGCCCACGTTTATCTCAAACGAAACAACTTAGCGTATGAATGTGTGGAATTTCACCACGTACAAAGTCGATTAATTGCAGGCCATCCTGCTGATTCCCTGTCAATAGTAAATCCTACTAATTGATGATTAATTGTGACTATCCCCTCTTTCTTATCTAGAACAGATCGCCTCACTAGTTATCTCAAGGCCTCACGATGAAGACCACCGATCGGATAAACCTCTGTTTGTGCGTGTAAACATTTTACAACACGAGTGAATGAATGAAACTGACCTAATGATGGTAGTTAGTTATTGCGGCGCCAGAGTTGTGGAATTCTCACAGATGTAAGTGACACAAATTTGACTTGATTTATTGCTTGCTTCCGTCGCTCGTGAGACGCAGATTACATGTGTATTACTTTTCATTAATTGCGGAGTTTAACGGGATATTTAGAAAATGATGCGCTCTTCTACGCGATCACCGGTGATTTTGCTGCTATTTTTGTTAACGGTACCTAAACTCTCAAAACCCTGTATTCAACTGCTCGATGGCTGGAAGCAACTAAGCGCCGGAGAGCGTGCTAAACTTGTCCAAGTGGTGTTCATTGGGAAAGTGGTGAATCTCTACTCGTACGATGCAACATCAACGCATGCGGCAGATTTCGAAGTTTGGAAAATTCTCAAGGGAAGCAAGTTCGTGGAAGAGGTTTTGGAAATGCAGTCCTCCCCACTGGTGATAGTTTATGGCTTTGGCGAGAAGATGCATTGTCTCTCGCCAGTAAATCCAGGAGAAGTTCATATGGTATTCATGGTTTACGCAAATGAATCTCGTGCGCTTATAGCCAGATACGAAGATGTATTTGGGGCCACCGCACCGGCTACGGCCAAGAACGAGGAAGAGGTACTGCTGGCCTTAGGTGAGTAGCACTGAAGATTTTAAATTGTTCGTTATCTCGTAACAATACTCCACGTTTTGTTCATTTGTTATTCGAAGGATTGCTTATCCAAGCACATTTCCCTGCTTTAACATTAGCAAAAATCACTTCATCTCTGGAGATGTATTCATATGGGAGCTTATCAAGAACAAACAGCTTTTGATTGGGCTTTTTCTCACGTATTTCATATTACATCAAGGGAATGATAAAAATATTTTTAGAACAATGGAAAAACAATTTAATTTAGGGCATACTTTAATTAAGCATTAGCAGGATATCTGTTAGTAGTTGTTTTGTATTGTTTTCGCGCGCCACTAGGCGCGACGTAAAATCGGAAAGATTTGCGTCGCTGAGCGATCGTGAGGGGGAAATGCGTGGTTTGGAACGTTGTTCCGTTTGAACGACGTTATAATCCTTTTCGAGAACGTGACAGTTTAGTGATGGCTCATTGACAAAGACAACAACACAATGCAAACCACGGTTTGCGGTAAAGATCCATCGTGTTTTTTATCATTTCCTCTTAAGGGGACAAAAATCTTTGACGCGTCATAACTAACTATTTCCAAGCTGTCAAGTATCGTTCTAGAAATGAACAAGGTGCGGGTTTCAACATCTGCTTTTTTGATTTGTTGCAAGGGATTCTGCTATGATTACTGAGATTAAAATATCATTTTTGCAAAAGCGCTTGCTTCACTTGCAAAACAAAACTCTCCGTAAAGCAGTGGTTAAAGCTATCATAGCAGATATCTAAGGCTTAATTTCACGCCTCTTGTTGTCTTATGAAGAATACATAAAAGCCCTTCCGAGGTACAGAAGATCTCCTGTGTTTGTGGCATATAATCAGCCTCCCGCGAGTAACTGTCAACAGCGGGCAATCCACTTTGCCTCAGTGTCGTTCCAAGCTTTATCTTGCACGCTCTCACTGCTACGGGTGAAAGGCTTTTTATCAACGAATGACAGAGCTATTTCTTTTCAAGAATTTCCGGAATGGATCCCTCCTCGTTGCAGTTTGTTTTTAGGTGGTTTGGTACAGATAAGGAACACCGACTGTTTTTGAAAACGATCTGTTTTAACCCCCTTGACAGTGATTGGCGTGAAGCCCCATCATGTTTTTGTAGTGTGATGACTGTGATACGGATCATTTCCAAATACAACTGAGGTGTCCAAATAATTTAATTGACGCGCAGATTTTGCGGTACGTTATTCAAAACTCCATACGTTGTCGGAGAAACACTGCGGTAGATTCTGCTGGGACAAAAACTGCACTGATACACTGTTCACTCAACTTTCGTTAAATTTTAAAAGAGATAATATGGGCGCGGCCTTAAAACGATATCATATTTTTTGTATTTCGTATCACATGAAAACCTCACCAAGATCTCCAACTTTACTTCCATCTTCAAACTAACAAGTTTTTCTTAAAAATCTGGATCGTTGTTAAAGCTGAAATTTTTTTCCTCAAGATTTTCCCTTTCATTTTCTCAGTGCTATGAAGGAACTTACTCTCCTTTTAATTGTGTACTCATAAAGACATTGTGGCTTTTCAAGACACTTTCGTGTCCGTTTAAAGGGAGTCGTTGGGCGTAAATTAATCTACCTTTAGCACGTGTGGTGCCTCGCAGTCTCTCCTCGTTAACAACATAGCGGATTAACTCAAACTTCATTAGTATAATCCTCAGGTGATGATCAAATATATGTCTCCAAAACACCTTTGTGGCGACAACCAAATCCTGCGGAGACCGGCTTCATTCAAGCTGTGTTTATATGACTTTCAGCTTGTATAAGAACTCTTGATCCGTTAGCTTTGGTAAGAGAAAAAAAAATGGGGAAAGTCGCAAGTAAACGAAAGAACTACGCCATTGAGAAATTGTTCCTTTGAAAAAGCTTTCCCTACTTGTAATTTTCTGATAGGAATGTACGAAAGTTTAAGAAATTGAAGAGACGAACAAAAGTTAGCAGTACGCCTTACAATTATTTGAATTCGGCAATGTTTTCTGTCATAAATTTTATGTGCACAGATGAAAGTAAAAAATTTTCATGTGAAGGGATATCACATGAAACAATTCATAAATCATTGCAGGTTGAGATGCTCTGTCGGCAAAGAATAATAATCTTTCTGTATACCATGTAGTAATGACATTAAACCATCTCCCAAATACCACGAAATGCCGGAAACCCTATCATGCTCATAACTCAAAGCAAACAAGCGAAAATTGGTCTAATTCTTTACAAGTACTAAACAAATACAACAAACTGTTTGGGTTAATAGAAATTAGCACGGAGTAGAAGAATTTTTGATGAATTTTTCCAGGGTCTATTTTCAAACCACTGAGCGAAACAATTCAGTTGCAAAATTTGCGTGGTTTTTGACAAAATTATGGTCTAAGGAATCTAATCAATCACCCAGCATTAAAGAGTAAATTAATCTAAGCCCTCTTATCACTGAACCAATAACCTTGTAGGAAGGTTGGCCTTTACTGTAACTAGACATCTGTTCTGAGCTCGAAATTTTGCGTCTGTGCCTAGACGAAAAGATGAAAACTCACCCAATAAATTATCACTTGAACCAGTTTTCAAACAGGAGGTTCTTTCTGTTGCGGTTGGCTCCCTGTGAGTTGTAGACGAGAATTACACCTTTGCGGATGTTTGTTTTGTGATAACTTAATATAAACAGATTAAAATATTTTGTGGTAATCTGAATCCAATAAAAAAAAGAATGTCAACGACAAGGTTGGTCAATAGTTCAGTTAAAGCTGGAATTGTCCAGCTCGTGATCGATTCGATACATAAGAAATTTTTGTATATTGAATTATAGCCATCGAATATTTTTTCTTCAAACATCCCTTGACAATCCCTAAACATTTCTTTAACTTTCCTCAGTTTTTATTTAACTGGATACAGCTTAAATCTCTCTCCACAAATCGTAAAAATCCAATTTCTATCTGGAGAGGAATATCACGGAATCTTCCTGGAGACACACGCACACAGAATATGGTTTTGAACCAACTCAAGATTTCAAAGAGTTTTCTTTATTCGTTATCTTAAACATTATTGTTGTTATCAATTTTACGGTCATTCTAGTAATACATTATATGTATTGTATCAAGAACGTTTTCTGTTGTCTGAAACGAATACGAGAATAACTCTGTAGTGATTAAACTTGGTGAGAAAAGAAAAAATTTTGGCCTCTTTGGAAAAGGTTTGGGTCTTTAAAGGAGCGGCAAAAAGGTGGATCATTTCGGTAAGTGCGATGGAAATTATGTAAAATTTTGCCGAAAATTCACCCGTTGTTTCAGGACCTTTACCACGTTACGGCTAGGTTTCTTTTCGGTGCTCATCTCCTCGATGTTTATTATTTTTTTTAATTAAAACGAACTGAGAGATCTCAGATTTAATGAGTAAGCTGAGATTTCCTGGGTAGGTTTCATACCTACGCGTGTCGAGTCCAAAAAGTATGTTGGATTGATCACGATCTCCTCTTTTTCTCGGGGCACTTGGAGGCTGTCACGTTCTTTAAAGTCAAGAACACAGATTAAATCTTAATCCTAAAATTGGCTTTCATCTTTCGAGCAGCTTTCGTTAGTCGCCCTGTTGAGGTGCTTTTAAGCTCTCTTGTGAGTTTCACGTTTGACCAAAGAAAGCAAGAAGAAAAAGAACAAAACTTTTTGCTTATCAATATGAACACACGCGTTTCATTAGGAGTTTCTTGTTTTTTGTTTTTTTTGGCTGCACAATCAAAATGGTAGGACCGTGATGTAAGCAAAGTAAGACCCTTGTGGACAAGATAAAAGTGACCCTTTTTTCACATTTTGCATTGCCAGAAAACATCCTGAGCAAAAGATTTTTATTATTTTAGGGATAAATTTACGTTGTTTTTACACAAGGTTCTTAAATCTCAACTGCTGAGCGTTTTGTTTTAGATTCAATTCAATACTTGCATCCGTGTACTCGTGCACGTCCTTAATGCAGTCGACTCTCGACCTGTAGACTCCTCGCTGTTACGGCATCCCGCCATTGCGGACAACAGCCAGCCCCCGGCGAAACACAAAGAAATGACTGAAATGAACTCTCGTTATGACGGACTCTCCCTATAACGGAAATGCGGACACTTTCATCCCCTCAACCCCGCCAGAGCAATATTTCACTTGTTTTATCTCTCGCTATGGCAGACACTTACATACTTCGTCCAAATCCTGACACGCATAATATAGAGCGACATTACCATAGAAGAAAATAAAGAAACCATTCTCCAATTGGGTGCGAACATGCCATGGCCGCAGAATTTCCTTCTTGCGGCCGGATCTTTTTCTGGTCCGTGAGGCCAAGATATAAACTTTATCAGTTTGCGTAGTTACATATTATTTCATATGTTTAGAGACAAAACAATTTATTTTTCTCTCGTAACCCACAATTACGGACTCTCGCTATTAAGAACACTAAATGAGTCGATTGTGATGAGATGGTCTGCTGCAAGAGTGGTGTTTTTACAAATTAAAGATTAACAAGGGCTTGGTTCGCGATAAGGGGTAGTTCGTTTCGGTCAGGGGACCTTTAAGAATTTGTTGGCAAACTCGTTTAGCATCTTGCTTATAAAGTCTCGAGCTCAAAATTTACCGTCTTTCTCTATGACCAAATATATTTCTTCTGAAGAAGCCCAGACTGCTATCGTCTTTGCCTTTTTGAAAGGTTTGTAAATAGCCTCGTAGCCAGGAAAAATTGCTACTTCAGATTAACCATTGTTTATTAACTCCTAAGTAAACAAGTGTACTAAAATTCCTCTTTGGTTTGAAAATTTTTAATGTCCCGCATAAATAATGTGACTCTTGTTTGCCTGCAACGTTACGAAACGAATCATCTGAGAGTTTGTGTTTACAGCTGCGGAGTAATACGCCGGAGATCTGCACAACATCTTCGCTTGGACAAGACAAGTTCGAAGTGTAATCCGCAATATGGCTTTAAATTAATCGCTCTCTTGTTAAAAGGCACTGAGTCGGTCGCCTAATGGAGACTCTTTTACAGCGATAGTAACTTTGTAAAGATCTCTGAAAATTGCTCCGCAGGTCACTTGGTAACTTGGATGGTGTTATACACAAAGTCACATCACAAAGCCTTTCTTACCGCAGTAGAGTTGGATATGAGAGTCCGTAGTCATTTTCTCATGTTTTTGCTCCGAAGCACTTGAAGAATGTCTTTATCTCTTAAAGTCTTGTCTTTAACTCTCAGAATATGATATGGGGTTTTACTGCGACCCATTCTGTCTGGTATCCTAATGATTATACCGACATGGTGGTATTTTAAGCTTGTTACATTTCTGTTTTCATATGCTTGTCATATCCTTTACCTGAGAAGATTAGAAGCCGGTGCACTTAGCCTTAAAAAACACCTTGCGCACGTGTGTATGATCAGTGAATCGAGGCTGATTTGACATTTGTTAAATAGTTTTGGGTTTCAATAGTTTTCGATGTGGTATACGGTAGAAACTGAGTTGAATTAGCTAATTGAAATTGAAAGTCTTAGAGGTTATAAAACTGTCCACTTAAGTGTAGGAAGAGTGTGGTATTGGAGCTCCATTAACGCCTTTGCTTTAGAATAAGATTTGAAGATTTGCCAAGACGATTGACCGTATTTTAGTGCATGAAAAAAAAAAAACCTTGAACTTCTAAATTAGCAAGAAATGCCTGAGCCTAAATAATTTGGTTTTTTTTCCAGAACTTTCAGCTCTTACGGTTTTACTTTATTTGAAGCCAAGATGACATGACGTCTTATTCAACTCGGTCACACTCTTTCATGTTCTCAAAAATAGGCTCCGATAAACTATGCTCGAAAATTGGAGCATTATGCTTTTGAGCGTCACCCCTGAAAACATGGCATTTTGCCAAAAATTGTGCTCAAAAGTTTTAACTGTGCTAAGTCGAATCATTTTGATAGCACCTCAATCTCCCCCGTTCCCACCACCAGCAGCTGAAAAGAATGTGCCCGATCAAATTCCTTGAGCATTATGCTTGAGATAAAAGAGCAAGTTTGAGAAGACAGTACTCAAGCAACAGAATTTCTCTCTTGTTCAACCGCAACATCAAGGAAATTTACAAGAAGTTTAATCTTGCCAGGATTATTCTCAATGATCTGGCTATAGCAATATGCCCAAAATTATACTGGTATAATTTTCCTGTTCTTACTCAAAAATCTCCTCTTCAGTGGCTCTTCTTTTATCAGAATTAAGTGTTTCTCTTTATCACTAAGAGGAATTCGATCTGTCTGATTGCATTTCAGTGATTTCCGAGTGGGTCAGGAACACAAGGTAAAATTAATGTTTGTTAGTATAGATACCCTTCTCTGTTTTTCAAGAAGCAGCTTTACGCCATTAGTTGCTCGATCTCCTCGAATCCGTGCGAAATGTATCGTTTATCTTTTTATTGAGGTATCATTTCTGATACCCAGCTTAATCGAATTTGTTTGCATTGGATACAGTTTTAAATCTGGATAACGGAAATTCAATTTTTTATAGTCGTAATCGTGTATGTGTGTTCCCACAGCGGTCACGCAACTTTGCAAGACGTGCTATTTTTCAGGCGAATGGCATTTCTGCAGCTCGCGATTTCCTCAGATCATGGGCGCTTGAGGCTAACAATTATTGTGCTTCAAAAGAGTCCAGGGAAGGAGAAATGATTAAAACGAAACGTTATAGCCATTGAAATTCACAGTCATTAAGAAAGGTCAGATTTTGCCACCAGGACACACAATCTCTTAAATTGACCCTTTCAAAGTCTTTGACAAACAAACTCTTAACCTTCGTAAAACTGATGAAATGAGAAATATGAGCGGTCAGGAACCGGCTTTTTATAAGTTGTTCACCGAGGTTCTTTTGCTTAGTCTTTGACCCTGCTTGCAATCACGTTTCAAGATTGCTGTTTGTATTCAGAGGAGAACAGTTTTACAGAAAACAAAACAGGAATTTTTAAACGAATTCATGTTATTGTACGATTAAACAAGTCAAGTGCGCAACAAAAATAATTTCATTAACATATTTACCTTAAACAGTTTTGTCGCGTGCACACATGTTGTAAGCCACAGCTTAATTAGTCAGCGGGCGTATTTACAGAGCGCCAAGCTTGATTGATTGGGTGTTGTGCTTAACTGTGACGGAATGTCTCACTATCTGCTGTGAAGACCAGTGAGAAATGATCCAGTTAACAATAACACGAGCATAGGAGTTCTGAGGCTTCAAAATGCCCCGCTATCTTGGTGACTTTCTGTTAAACTATCCAGTTCATGACTGCTCCTTCTCGCCAGACAGCCGAACCTCTTACACTCAAACTTCTATTTCGAAATGTCTTTTATGAAATAACCATTTGCTTCAACTTTGAGATCACCGAAATATATACGTGGTTATTTCCCTTCTCGTCGGTAAATAATTGTTAGTAATTCCTTACGATAGCATCTGAGAGAAATATTTGCGGAGTGTGTATTGGGTCTGTAGTCGGCCAGGCTGAGGAGGCGTTCACAGGTCACCGAAGTTAATTGGAAACTCATGAGTCCTCCAATCTGTTTTGAGGTGTAATCGGAAATATGAGAATTCTGAGATACTCTTGTAGTTGGGGTGGTAATTCAGGACTGATAATCTAATTTGCCTTCGCGCCAGAAAACCAAAAAAAAAGGAAAAAACTGAAGCGTATCTTCCTTTTTCACCCACTCTCGTATAACTGTGCTTATATTTCTTCTGGTTTTTCGCGTTTTTGTTAACGACTTCCCCAGATGAAACATTACCACAGAATTGCTAAGTTTTGCACGAATTAAATTCGTGGAATTCCTGTTGGAATATTGAAATATGTTACCAAATTAAAAGGGTAAAATTAGTAAAAGTAGCTCAAAATTGTAGTATAGATTACTGATGGCTTTAGAATCATTTAATCTTTATGCGGAGGTTCTGTAAACATTTCATTCCATAGATTAAGGCTTTTCATTCACATAACAAAACCGCGTCAACAGATCAAAATTTGAACAAAGCATTAAGGAAATGTTTTGTTTTATCTCAAGCATAAAGCTAAACTCATAAGTCAAGAGAAAAAAAGTCCCATCCTTAAAATCTTTAATTTTTTTGGCACTGAGTTCCTCTTTTTCTGTAAACAACGCCTGTCCTTTGACCTCAAATCATTCCTAGTGATTACGAAATGTCCAAGGTAGGTTACGTAATTTGCTTTGAAAGGACGGGCACAGGAGCTTTCGTGGGTGTGCGAGGGAGGATTCGCGCTACTGAATGAAGCACGAGGCAAACTTCTTTATCAACAGTATCATTTGATGCATTAGCCTGGTGTGGCAAAAAGAGCGATTCTACCGAAGTATTCAGCTTTATTTCCCCATCTAATTTTTCTTTACTGTTCGTCTATACACGTTTCACTTGGGAGCCTTAGTCACTGCGGCCTGAGTAGAGGCAGCAACACTTCACCATGAATTTGAAACAAAAAACTTTGAACAGCAAGCAAAATGCATTCAGACGCTTGGGGACGGGTATTTCAACAGAGTTTAACCGTTGTTGAACAAAGCGTGTCCTAAACTATCCTCAGTTTAGCTGAACCTTTTATCTGAATATTTATTATTGTAATCAGTGTCAAGAGGGCCGAAAGCTTACAGTGTAACAGTACAGTGCTTTACATTTGCTTAATTAAATCGACCCTCTTATGGAGAAAACCTGATATCTGAGCCCCACTGAATGCGAAAAACCGTGATTTGGGTCAGACCTCATGTTAAAAACCAACACTTCGAGTTTTGTTTCAACCTAGCCTGTTCAAAACTGACAAATCAGTGTGATATTTACAGAGGCGGATCCAGACCTTGAGCTAAGGGGGGCCCAGTTAATACTTTCTTAACACTTGCTCTCTCTCACCACTTCGTTTCAGGTTGGAAACCTTGGTCGAGCTGGAGTCGCTGCAATAAAAACTGTGATGTGGGTGAACAGTTTCGCACAAGAGAATGTGTGAATAAAGAATGCGATGGCAGCTCTCGAGAATCAAGGAAGTGTAACGAGTTTGAGTGTTATGGTGAGGTTTCTTTCGTTTTACGGAGCGGTTTGCAAATTAGCACCTCAGGAAATGTATGAAGAACAGTATAGAGAATATGCTATCTGATTGTTAGGGCAGCTAACTGAAATAAGCAAAAGCAAAGTAATCCTGTATTACCTGCGCTAGTGAATTGAAAATTGCTTATAAAAGATCAAACCTAATTTATTTAGTGTTGGGGAGGGGGGGGAAAGAGAGAGAGAGAGAGCAACATTTTGTCACGTTTTTGGTCTTAAAAGACAGTCTGTTCCGGCTTTGTAGTCGTGTGAGTCACAATGAAATTTTGCCAACTTTGTGATCATGCTACAATGAGAGGAAAAACGTCTTGGCACGCCTTGCTACTTGATAGCGTTTTCCTTTAACCCTTTAACTCCCATGAGTGACCAAGACAGAATTTCTCCTTACAATATCAATACAATATTAACCAGACAAGTGATGAGAATAAAGAAAAATATCAATTTGGGGATAATTAGTTGATCCAATACTAAATTCTCTGACCTAACATTATAAGAATTGTATGGTTGACAATAAGGAGAAAGACAAATTCGATCTGGGAATTAAAGGGACAACTTTCACGCGCCAACTACTCTAAGCTACACTGGAATCGTGCCACCTTTGACTGAATGTTACTGAATGTGTTATCACGTGAGTTAATTTTATCTTAAGAGACTGAAAACTGCGTGTAATTTTCACCGTTTGCCATCGTTCCATTGTCATACCAACAATTACTTTTGATCAATGCTTTTGAAATTATTCTGATTATTAATTTCAATAATATCAATTATTTATCTTCAGGTTTAAAGGACATAGCTCGACATATCCGAGAGGATCAGATTCCACCCCTTTCAAAACACGACAACATAAAAGTAGAAAACGGAGTCGTCAAGTCCATACCAGTTTCAAAAGTGTTTCGATATTACAATTACTTCCCGGACGACTTTTCTATTTTATTTTCATTTCGTGTCATAGCTCTTACAAACATTTACCTAGTGGCTATGCACGATCACCGCAAATCTATGAGGTTAGGAGTAAGAATCACACCAGATCTGGTGATTTTTGAATTCGAGAAAAGCTCTGCCATTCAATTTCGCGGAGGGTCGCTGGACTTTCCTGTGAGAGTAAAAAAAGACCAATGGCACACCCTGGGTATAAGTATCCACGAACGAAACGTCACAGCCTATTGGGACTGCGCGAGGATTGGGTCCAAGAACTTACAGGAAAAGTTTTCATTCGTTACGGATGCTATGGGTAAAATCAGCGTCGGGGAACCACTGCTTGTATCGTCCATAGAGAGATACGAGGTGAGTTGGTGGATACCGGATGAGATGCTATTTAACTACCACAGTCAATGGTTAGATGAATTCTTAATTTCATTTCATTGAATTATCTAACGAACAAATGGAGAGAGCATAAGTTAACAAAACTCAAAAGAGGAAAAAGACAATTAACCATTACTAACAATAACTAACCCTGTTGTCGTAACACAACAGCAAATTGTCTGAAGGGATGAAAAGACATTCTGGATCTATGTTTTGTTAACCGTATTTAATCAATTAAACGCCGCCTTCGTAACAAAATTATTACTTAATTTCATCCTTAAGTAAACGCCTCCACCGCCCTCGAGTAAACGCACCCAAGTAGGAGGAGGCGGCGTTTTTTTCGAGGAATATATTGAACCTGCTAAAAAGTTGAACAAATGCTCACTAGAATAAATACAGAGAGGTCTTGTGGAGGACAACTTAGGGACAATATCGAGATACCTCTGAGGTAGGGCGTGAAACCTCGTAGGCTGCGTCATGTGTGGGGGGAGCAAGGAAAACATCAAGCTGGTACTAGAAAAGGCAGGGAAACACCTCGACGCCTTTTTTTTCTTTTTTTTCTGGCGCAGTCAGAATGTATGCATGAACAATCATTGAATTAACTTTGATAACAGAGCAAAGCTGTTCCATACACCGAATTGCTTTGACCTTTGAGTGATAACTAACCTTTATTTGGTGTAATTTCACGAAATGGCTGCTATATTTTTTAAGGTTGAGGTCAGCGAGTTGTACTTCGTACCAGATCCCGGCGCATCAAGACAACAGTGCGACCCTCCAATATTCAAACCAGTGAGTGGGTTAGAGATAAACATAAAGGATTTAGTGAGTTTTATCAGGGAATAAGAAATGTTAGCAAGCAAGATGAAAATCGAACTTTGGAAACAACAACTCTAACTCATACAGTTGATCATTGCAAGTAATTCGATAAAGTTTATTAACTAGATATGTTTCTGTAAACAGGACAGAATACCGATCTTTGACGACATTGCTTCAATTCGGTACTACTACCAATAAACGGTATTGTGATACCACGGACGGGACTTAATGACAGTACGAAGAACATCGACCTAGCCACATTACATAACAAGTAAAACAGAGCGGTCAAACACTGCGACTTGCTCACTTGTGTGATTGTTTATTCTTGAAAGACAACTTGGCTCTAAAAGCCTGAGAGCACGCCGCCTTGTCGTTTCACGCACATGCGCAGGCGTTTGACCGCTGTGTTGACGAGCGAGGGTGCGAATATGACTCGAAGTCTTCCTTTTTCCCTAATTTCATACGAACCTAAATGTTTGGTTTGTTGTGCAGGTCTTTCACGCTCACGAAATAGAAGGTAGTGGTGGAGTTAGTGCTTCGGAAATCTACGGGAAAGAAGGCTCCGGTACGCCAAATTATGTTGAAGATTCTGAAAATGAAGGTTTGTTCAGGAAAGTCGTAATTTCAGTGCTGATGCCAATAGTGTGTATTTCTCTGAGGAGTGTTTGGGGAGGGACTGGGAAAAGGGGGTGGCTAAGGATGGACTTTGATCTCCCTCAGAGGATTTTTGAGATATTCGATATAAAGAAATAATCAATTGATAATGAAACGCAATCCTGGATTGCATTTATTTGCTTTATTTTGGCACGCAATCGGTCTTGAAATTCTCCCTCAATCAAATGAATGGAAAAGTACTTAGACCTAATCCCTACTGGCCTCTTTGCAGTGCTCTACCAACTGAGCTGACAGGCCAACTGGGAGCTGGTATCGCACCGGTATCGCAAAGGTCATGGGTTATATCCCGTACAGGCCTGAATCTTTTCAAGCCTTATTTTCAGTACTGCTCAAGAAGTGTTCATTACTGCGAAGATCGCTTTCATATTCACGTCTTTATCCACAGTTCCCATATATGACTTTCATATATTCACAGTCATTTACTCATCGCTTCACGGGTTTATGTGGAACTAACACATTGACCAGCTCGCAGTTGGCTTATTAGCTGAGTTGGTAGAGCGCTGCACCGGTATCGCAGAGGTCATGAGTTCAAATCCCGTACAGGCCTATACGGGATTACTTTGAATTCTTATTGGCTCCTTGTGTTATTTCCAATTTTTCCGACGGCCAGTTTTGATAACTTTGAATGAAGGGGTAAGTTTCTAAAGAAACTGTGGTGCTCGTCGGTGGAAGAGTATGGCAGGGCAGTGAAGTGTTATCAACTGAATTGATAACGTATGGTTTTATGGTTTTAAACTCTATATGGTGGTCGATTTACGTGATCAACTCAGTTGATAATACTTAATTACACCGTAATAACTTTGGTTGGTTTCACGAAACTGAATCGCGAGCAACTCAAGGGGATCTAGGGCAAACTATGACGATAGTTTGCTCTGTTTTTTTAAATGTTTTAACAACGTTTTTTCCCCCAGTCGAGATCTCTTGGTCGGAATGGTCACAATGCTCTAAGACTTGCGGTAAAGGCCGAAGGCAACGCTTAATGACGTGTAATTTCGAAAACGGTCGGCCAACAGAAGAGTGCCTTCAAGCCCTCCAAACGTTTGAGGTCAAAGATTGTTACTTACAAGACTGCCCAGGTACTAAACGACCGCCCACTTTTAATAAAAGTAATAGTTCTTTTGCAGACCCGAAAAACGAGCCACAGAGATGTAACTTCTTCTGGGTCTCTTCGTATCGGATCGTTTCTTAGATCTCACTTTGCCGTTACTCTGGTAAAACTTGCAACGCCATATGAGAAGACGAGCCAGTGCAATAACCCAGATCTTGGTTTTCGCCGCCTGAGGTCTCGGTTACCGGTCTTGAAATTTTACCAAATTTAACTCCCCTGCTGATAACTCGGTTGAACACCTTATTAGGAATAGTAATGAGCCCTAAGTCTCAGCCGTTAACTGGGCTGAAATTTCTTATCTGAAAAGGAGACCAAATTTGTCCCGTCAAGCGAGCTGGCTTGGTTCCGGGATGTTTTGACTGAGATCTTTCTAAGCAAGCACACATAACCTATTCCTTAACGGGTAAGCTAGTTGTCATGGCAACCCTGGCAAACTGTCCTGCGCGGGATAAGCTAGCTTTTCACAAAAGAAGATTGGCTTTATGTAGTACTTTTCCATAAGGTCTTGATAAATAACAAACCAGAGAAATCAACAGTCAGAGTAAAGCTTGATCTCCAAGGTCATTTGCCCGTCTCAAGCGCGGGAAAATGTGTGTCACCCAGTCGTAACCAGCTTTCGTCTTGCTTCTGATTGGTCCAAAGTATGGCACGAGTCTTCTTGACCCAATCACGAAGCCTCGTTGACTTATAACAAGGGCCAATCAATAGAAAGGTTCACAATTGAGGGAGCCAATTAGGTACAAGTGTGCAAGTAAACAAGCTTTATTTTCTTTCTTTGATTTTCAGCCAAGTGTGATCTTCCGTGTTTAAACGGCGGATTCTGTATCAGTCGTAATAAATGTCGCTGTCAGCCTGGTTACCATGGTGACGTCTGCGAAAAAGGTTTGTTAAGAGTTCAGTTCTTGAATAAAATTACAATAGCCTTTAATTCGTGTCGTTTACCTTTTCAAATTGCGTGAAAATTTGAGGAGATTTATGGAATTCAAGTTAACCTTTGCCAGTGGGAGTCGCGGTCGCCTTGTGGGTAGTGCACTAAAATCAAAAGGTCTGCTGATTACTGTGTTGTTTCTTTTTGCTTTCGCGGTGCTTCCCTCCAATCAGGAGTATAGATGGGTAATGGCAGACTATCAGGGAAACCAGTCGAAATTTTAGGGGAGTAACAACACTCCAAGTTGCTACATGCCACTGGAGTCGGAAAACTATCCGACGGGAAGAACCTCTTAGCTCACATGCTGAATTAACCTTTGTTTATCGGTTACAGTGGAGTGCAAGATTCATTGTCGTAATGGCGGCACTTGCGTGGGACCCTACAAGTGTAATTGCCCGTCAGGATATGGGGGAACACAGTGCGAGAAAGGTGATCATTTAACAATTTAGAAATACATATTTAAGTCTCGCTGAGTTTAAAACTAGTAGGAACAAACTCCTGAACTTCAACCACCGGTCAGCTTTCCAGTGGCAGTTTTTAAAAATGAGCCACTGGCGAAATACAACTTCGATTTTCTAATTGACGTTCTCCTTGGCGTTGCTTTTCCTTATATTATCAGATTTTAGGTTTTATAAATCAATAAATTCATGTGTTGTACACTAATCATACTTTATCGTTCACTTTAATTCAGTGTTTTTACTTTCCTTTTTTTTTCCTCCGCAGTACTGTGCACTCCACCATGTCAGTATGGCGGCAGGTGTATCAAGCCCAATGTGTGTCAATGTTTTCATGGTTTTACGGGGCCGTATTGCAGACGTGAGTATCGGATCCACTCATAGGAATCTTATAATCGAAGAGAGATTTTAAACAATTTAGTGACAATACTAAGTACATCGAAAGCGCACAAATCTCAGTTATCTCCGATTTAGCTGTCAGATGCCTTATCAAATGAGGTACGGAGATCTTCGCGAGCTTTGCCATAGACTTGGTTCAGGATCGAGTTGTGACTTCCGCTCGGGTTTCCACAACCTAAGCAGAAGTCATTACCAGAGTAGTTAAGTGAGGAGTTGTTAGTCAAATATCATAGCATAAGTCTGGTTCGTTGAAATTGGTTGGTTTAGTGTTGTCGGGATCAGGTAGCATAAATCGAACGTTTATTACACCTTTGAAATCGCCCGGTATGAAGATAAAGTACGAATGAATAATCTTGAGAATTTTGTATCGATAATACCTTTGAGTAACTTACATGACGCTTTCGTTTCCTTCTCTCCTCAGCCTCCTGCAGCCCGCCTTGCCTCAATGGCGGCGTATGCGTGGGTCCAAACGAATGTCGCTGTGCCAAAGGTTTCACTGGAGAATCTTGCCTTCAAGGTATTTGGGTTGATGCATTGTTTATTGATTGAGACTCTTCATATTTAAGAAGCTCTTGAGTGTTCGAAAAATTCGCCTTGTTAACACCTCAGGAAATGTTTAAAGAACAGTATGGAGAATATGCAAACTGATGTTAGGAAGTAAAAGGTTCGGTCATTTTGCCACCAGTTTATATCAATGTTTCCTCTCTCATTTTAGCATTATGCAACCCGCCCTGCATGCATGGCGGTGTATGCTATCAGCCAAACAAATGCTCCTGTCCATTCGGCTGGCACGGAAAGAGCTGCGAAAAAGGTACGTTCCCTTGGGTGAAATTTTTTTTTTGAAATGTAGATAGACTGGTATAGCCATTTAAATCCTCAAGGAGTATCGACCTCTTCACGAACTATCCCCTTTTCTGGTGTAATTCGTGTCAAAATTAAATGCTAAGGGATACGTCGATTGAGCCACACAATATTTTGCGGCCTTGAAAACAAGGCCGGATCAACTGTTATTGGCCGTCAGACTTAGTCTTTCAGACCCCGTGGCTCATCAATGAAGGCGCTTATCCCGAAGTTACCAGGAGTCTTGCACCTCCTCCTTTATGCGCCTGATTGGAGATGTCCTGCCCAAGGGCGGCCTAGTTTAGCCAGGGCTCGATCCAAGCCAGCCCTTTCGCTAACCAAAAGGTGATCACTTCTTTTACTAAATAGGTTTCAACTCTATATTTTCAGCGCGTTGTTATCCGCATTGTCGAAATGGTGGGACCTGTTGGAGAGGAAAATTCTGCCTTTGTTCCAAGGGATATTATGGTTATTACTGCCAAAACGTTCTCAGTGAGTAAATAAATGATTATCAGTCAGAATTGAAAGAAGAAAGCTATTTCAAATGATTTTGTTAAACCCCAACGGAAATTTTTTTTTCATGCATTGGAACCCGAATCCCACCCCATTTTTGCGCCAAGTTTTATTGCTAAATCATTTGAATATTGTCAATTTAGTACCTTAAAGTATCACTTCGAAGCAAATCACGAACGGGATAGAGTGTTGCACGGCAAATTAAAGCAATTTTTGATAGACAGTCAAACGTGATTGGCCCAGAAAACCAGGTCATCCTCTCAACCAATCAGATGCAAACCTTAAACCAATATCGATTTCGTTACTTGCGTTTTCCCACGCTCTACACAGTTTTCTTAGTTTTTGCTTAAAGATCTAATTGGCTCTCTGAGCGACTTTCTTTGGCTCTCATTGGCTGATGTAATTGTTTAGTTTTGGATTTGCAGAAAACACTCTTTTTACACGATGTTGGTCTCTGTTATTCTCTGGTTCACGAGTATACTTGACTGTACATGTAACACGCTTCTTTTCTTTTTTTTTACAGCTGTAAGGTCGTATTAGTGGGAAGGCACGAGAGTCAATGAACAAGACAATAAGAAAAATTCCAAGAAACGTTCCTTTAATTCCCCAAAGGGAAGAAGATAATAGAATCTTTAAGTTTAACTTATGTTTCACAAAAAGGAAGGAAATTTTCTCACAAAGTCTCGGCATTATAGATGCTTTTAAGATGTTGGACCAAAAAAATGAGTCTGGATAGGTCTACAACTGCAAGCGCCCCAAAGATTTCTTCTTCCTTTTTGCGTGACTGCGTGACACGTAATTCCCTGTGTGACAGATTGCGATTTTAATACGCGTTTTCCTTAAATAATTGTCGCATCATTTTTAGAGAAACTAACTAACTAAAAGCGCTTGTACATAGATACTGCCGTTCGGTAGGTTCGTTTGTTATTCAGGATAACATCAGTTTGGAAAGTTCTGCAATCAGATTTGTAAATAGTCGCAAACGGTACGTCGTGAAACAATTGTCCGACTTTTTGTCTGGGACGAAATAACTGATATCAAACGCAAATTCGTTTTGTTTGCAATCTCTCTCTTAATGTTATGGAGGAAAATAAAATTGAAGAATAGTTTAACGCTGCTGCTGTTGAAGTGTCAAAGTGGAGGGATTTTATCTCATTTCTCCTCACCTCTTTGGATATTTCGTGAAAAAATCTTCCCCTCCCCTTTGTCTTTCATGTTACCAGCCTTTAAAAGGACGCCTCAATTTTATATGCTCCCATGTTTCGTTCAAAAAAAATTTGACATATACATGTCCTTTCCTAGAGTCGCAGAGTGCAAAAAAAGAGAGTAACCCTTGACTTTCGCGTCGTTCAGGAGCCTCCGAACGCCAAACCCGAGCGCTGAATCCGAAATAGATCCATGAACGTCAGTGATACTGTGAAATATATAATTTTTTTGCTGGACGTTTGATATTTTGTTGATATTTGATCACAACTAGTGGCCTTCCACATTTGCAGACGTTCCGGTGAAATAAACCCCGAGTTCATAAGTAGTGGGAGCAGGGAACACAAAAGAAACTAAGAAACGAAAAAATTGCACAGCACTGCGAAAGTCACAAAGAAAGTCACGGTTGTATCAGAGGCCGGGGAACCCATGTTGTTCATGGAGCCTGACCAGATTGCTTTTCCGTTGAGAGCCAAATCGGGTAACCACCACTGGCGGAAAGGAGAAAAAGTCTACGAGAATTATAGCTGGAGTCACCTCTGGGGTTCAAACGGTTTGAGTCCACTGTGAGTTGGAAATTACTGAACGAAGATATCGCCTTGCGAAAGAGGGTCGAAGGAAAACACGTGCAGATGGTACAACCTCCAAGAAATCAAGGGGAACCTCCAACGGTTGAGGAGGGATGGCCAAGTTACTTCACTATTTCAGATTTCAGCAACTTGGAGCCATCAAAAGTGAAGAGGAGAAAGACTTTGAAAGAATTACAACATGATTCTCCTCCTGGGTTTATAAACTTCGAGTCCGCAGCGGATTGGACGGGTCATGCGAATGGAAAGTGAGCAACAGCACACCTTTCTGTTACATAAAAACAGCTTTATTTTTCCTATTTTGGTTGCGTAATCGGTTAATTAAAAGTCCCACTTTTTACACGTTTACCGGATCGTGAGACAAATTTTTTTCACCAGTTTGAAATACTGCAATAAATAATTGAGTATACTATCAAGCTTAAGAAAACAACAACATCTATATCGGCTGTCCATAAATTTCATCCATCCCCGAAAACGATGAACGGGATACTATTGTTGCTTAGACGAGACCTAGAGATGTTGGCTTATATTGTGTAACAAATTTTGTTTGTTGCTGTACTTTTCAAGTCAGTGAATGAAGTTTTCAAAAAGCCGACGTAAACCTTCTTTAAATGAAGGGATGGGGAATTTTCTTCTCCAAACATATCTCTTTCTTAAAATATTTACCAGTGATTTTAGCTTACATTACGTAACAAATTTTGTTTGTTAGCGTATTTTTCGGTGAATGAAGTTTCCAAAAAGCCGACACATACCTTTTTTTCTAATTGCAGCTTTATACTGCGGGGGATTTTCATTATTATTTTTTAGATTTAGGTTGAAATATCTATCAAACACTCTTAAGACTGTAGAATATTTCGCCCAAAATGGTCAAGCTAGTATGAAAGTCAAACTAATGTTACATAACAATATAAGGATGTTGCCATTTACTGAGTTGTTTTTTTTGATTAAAAAATAACTCTGTGTTAGCGTGTTGATTGGTATATTGCTTGCACAAATTAGATCGCCGAATTAGAGTTTGCATCTCGTACCAATCAGATCGTCACATTAAGGTATGTATCTCGTACCAATCAGATTGTCGCATTAGGGTACGTATCTCGCACCAATCATATCACAGCAATTGGAAAGCTTGCACCAATCATTGCGTTTGGGTGTTTTTTCTTCTTACAAATGATGTCATGGAATCAGGGGTTGTGCACAAAGGTTCGCATTTAACCTTTTTTATCATATGAAAGTTAAAACGCTCCTTTACTCACAACGCACACGCCGAACAATTGATATTCCATCACGTACCATGAAACCAACGTCCAAAGTCCAATCAGAACATACCCAATCATTGCACTAAATGAACATCAGGCAATTTTCCACCTGCTTGAATTGTATTCCATCAATAAAATCCATTTTGCTACATTAGCTTTCGCCCCGCAATTTCCAACCCTACTGAAAAAGATTCACATGGAACTAAATGCTAATGACAGTGAATTTTCCACGTAGTTCTCTAGCGTTTTGACTTTTTCTACGAATATAATTCGCTTTGAGCTACCTTGGACTTTACCCAATCGTGTGTTAATTCCTCGGAAACAACCTATATTTTGTCACGCATTTCAGACACAGAGGGTAAAGTCCAGATAGGCAACAACCAATCGAGGAGCCCTCTTTGAAATATTATCCTTTTCTCTTGTTCAATGAATCTTCCCCCACGTCTAGATCGTAATATATCTTTGGTTAGGGTATGATGGAGATACAACAGAGTTTCAGTTTGCTTTTTGTAGTTAAAGTACGTGGAATTATACTTTTGAGGCAAATGACTTTGATTTTCTCTCTGTTGGAGAAACGGCGGTAAGCGCAGTTCCTTTCGTAACCGTTACCTGGCCTCGTCACGCGCGCTCTCTCCAACGGGGAATAGATAGCGTTGTGTGACAAGATCAAACATTAGAGGTGAAGAAAACAACAGTAATCGTGGCTCCGATATATTTTATTTTCGCCCAGAAATATTTAGATAAAAGAGACAGAAGACCACAAAATACCTAAGTGAGTTCAGATAAATAAGGTTTTTTTTTCTTTCTTGTTAATATGAAGTAATGAGATGTTTTAATTCTTTTGAAAGTTGTACTTTTTTTCTGTTACAAAATTAAAGCATCAGGTACCCAAAGTATCCCATCTAAACCCACCCAGCCCCCAAAATAACTCTTATTAAAAATTTTTAAGGGTCACTTGTCCAGATTTTCCTTCAATGCCAGCTCGATTGGATCACATGGTTGTGGCGTGAAGGCTCAGCCCCTCAAGGAGACACCCATTGTTGGGTTTCGTTTGGCAGTTCTCCCCAAACAACGCCTGCTGACTGGTGCAACCACTTCTGTTCTTAGTGAATGGCCAATAGCAGGTCGTTTGCCATCTTCTGTAAATTTTTGTTCGCTGCTAGCTGCCTTCGAGTTGTAGGAAGATTCCCGGCAGAGACAACACACACCGTTTTCAGAAAAAATGGGAGCACGAAAGACAAAACCAGCCAAGATACGAGAAGATGGCGCAGCACTGCGAGGATCACAAGGAAATCAAAAGATGGTCCTGAAGAGACAGGCAGTCGTTCCTCGGTGGCGTCGAAGGGAAATTTATGTTGTTGATGGAGCCCGGCCCGATCGCTTTTCCACTGAAAGCAACCGGCAACCAGCAGCGGCGAAGAGGAGAAAGAGTCTGAAAGAATTACAGCAAGAGGCTCCACATGGATTTAAACAGTTCGAGTCGGCAGTGAATTGGAAATCTCTGGACGAAGATACCGCTTTGCAATTGTGGGAGGACATTTTCAAGCCTCTACAAAGTCCATATCATTTTCAGGGTACAAGCGGTCTGAAAACTTTGACGTAAGGACCCTGCCGATCGTAAAATCTGATTTCTTAAATGTACATCTTTAAACATATCCGTTCCTGTAGATATTAAGCCACAGATTTTGCTTAGTATTACATAACAACTTTGTTTGTCTCGATATTCTTCAGAGATGGAGTTTTCGATGAGTCGACAGTTATCTTCTTTTCTAATTGCAGCTTTGTACAGCGGGGGATTTTCACGAATTTGTCGAATCTAAGTTTAAATATCTATTAAATGATGTAAAGGCTGAGTCAAATTTCGTATGAATAGGATACCAAAATGGTAATTATAATCGATAAGTGAACCAAATATTACGTAACAAATTAGAAATGGTGCTTTTTTTTCCTTTGTTGTTGTTCCTTTTCAGTAAGACAAATGTTATTTGAGTTGATTGTGTGCTGAACATAATTTCGATAGTTCGTTTAATATGGAAATATTTAATTAAAGTGCCTAAAAAAATAGTAGGAAGTCTACCATATAACTCGGCTAAAAGTTTAGAACGGTATTATTATGTAACGTATCAGAAAAAGAAATTGCCATTATTTTCTCATTGTAACAGAAAATGTCTAATGAAATATGGAATAAAGTGTTAAAAACTGAGTTGAAAACGTGAATTGACCACCGTAAAGAGTTTAAAGGCTGACGTTTCGAGCGTTAGCCCTTCGTCAGAGCGATTGAAGGAGTTGTAGGTTGTGTGTGGGCCGGTTTATACGCAAAAAATGGGGCTGGGCAATTGGTGGGAACATAGTGACGAGAAAACAAGAATAAATTAGTTGAATGAAAGGCGCTCGTTTATACCGAACTGCCTAGATGTGGGGAAAGGCCGCAAAATGCCATATCTTGTTTAGAATGATTAGGGAGATTAAAGTGTCTAGCGAGAGGTTTGGATGCGTCCTTGTCATTTCTTTCTTCGTCGCGAAGGTGTTCTCGGAATTGGTCATCTAGTCGTCTTCCTGTTTCACCAATGTATAACTTATTGCAATAAGAACTAGTTATGCAATGAATGACATTGGCGGCGATACACGTAAAGTGATCTTAATGGATCTGTTGGGTCGGTTTTCAACTCAGTTGTAAACACTAAATTACCTGCTACACTCTCCCACCGACGCAGCACCACAGTTTCTTTAGAAACTTACCCCCTTTATTCATAATAAAATATGTTTGGTTAGTTTGTTGTTTAGCGCCAGAAATGTCACCAGTTCCAACATTAATCATTGTGCGATAGGAAGTGTCAGTTTATGGTTTATTATTTTAAAAATTGATTCGGAGTGGAAGAAAAACTCAACAAATTGGGGTCTTGAAAGCGGAGTAAAAAAAAACCAGGCTGGTATTTTTTTAGTGTAAGGTTATTGAAAGCTTTACAGATTTGTTTCTTCTCTTTAAGTTTCAATTTTGTTCTTAAAGCAATTTCTATATTTTGTTATGCGGTTTACCGTTGTAAATCAAAGAATTTGATACCGAATAAAAACTTTTACTGTCTTACACTGTAATTCTATTCATATTAACATTGACCTTTTACAAAAAGCAAAGTGTTTCTGGATACCGTTGATTGGATTGCGTGTTCTAATCCCGCTACTTTGTTTACTTGGAACGACCGAGGGGTAAAAAACACAAACGTGCTGCTGGCCGCGCCAATTAGTATTTCCCCTTTTCCTAGTTACCGACAATATTAATGTGTTAAGTAATTACCAGGATCCTTTGCCATCAATCAAGGCGTCTTCCTAGTTTTGCACTACGCATCCCGTTGTGAACATAATGGCAAAGGATTAGCTTAGATGCGCATGTTTAAATTGTTACGTAATCAGGTCACCCTTTCCTAAAATCCGTAGTTTAACCCTGTAGAAGCAGAGTAAAAAGGCTCTCGTTTACAGTTTATGCTAATATTTTCACTCCAGAAAGCGTGTGGCTGTAAGCAGACTGCAAGAAGTTCAGTTTTTTTCGTCTGCAATGGCGTTTAAAAACTTCATGCTTAAAATGTATTTTGGAAACGTTTCATCACGTGACGACACCCAAAGCGTCCCTTTTACGCCTCAATGATACCAAACTTGAAAAATCTTGGTTCACGTTTTTATTATTATATTTCTTATTATTTCAGTAGTGATACAATTATTGTTTTGATAGTTCGTAAAACTATCTTACAAAATTTCATCCACTGATAGTAGAGCTATTACCCCTGTACAATAATAAAAAAAACATTTGAAACACTGTTGACAGAAATGATTGTTGCAATGTTTAAAGTTGTGTTATCAAAGATAAGTTTAAAAATGAGATGATTATATTTAAACTTTACTAATCTCTTATATCGGCGAAATTAAAACTTTTCAGTGGCTTGAAAATGTCCTCCCACAAGTCCAACGCGGTATCTTCGTCCAATGATTTCCAATCCACTGCGGACTCAAACTCTTTAAACTCAGGAGAACACTCTCGCTGTAATTCTTTCATAGTCTTTCTCCTCTTCACTTTTGATGGCTCCAAGTTGCTAACATTTGAAATAGTGAAGTAACTTGGCCATTCTTCTTTAACCGTACGAGGTTCCTCTTGATTTCTTGGAGGTTGTGTCATCTGTACACGCTCCTCTGCGACTCTCAGTTGATTTTTTGTGGATTTTGGAAGTGCTCGGTAAAGTTCTCGTCTAGTGGCTGCCAGTTTCGTTTTCGCTGCTCCCATTTTCGTAGGCAGTTCAAGTGTAACTCTACGTAGAGGAGGACTTTTCAGTTCGAATTCTCAAAGATGACTGGCAATAACTTAAGTCTTGCCTCTTAGAAAAATATAATTCTTGCATAACACTGTTGTATTGTGACAGTTGCTATCGTTTTGTTGCTGTTGGTCACGTGTAGTTTTGATTTTGCAATTTTTTATTTAATAGTTATTACGTAATGTAAATCTTCAGTCAAGTGAGTCGTCAAAACAACAGTAGTATCCCGCCCATAGTTTTCAGGGGAGGATAAAATTTACGGACAGCCGACATAGATGTTGTTCTTTTCTTTAAGCATACTTTAATAGTTATTACAGTATTTCCAACTGGTGAAAAAAATTTGTCGCACGCTCCGGTAAACGTGTAAAAAGTGGGACTTCTAGCCGATTATATAACCAAAATAGGAAAAAATGAAGCTGTTTTTATGAAACAGAAAATTGTGCTGTTGCTCACTTTCTATTCACACGACCCGTTAATAAACCTTGTGGAAAGTTACTAAAAAATCTCTTATTCGCAGTAAATGCAATATTTACACGTGGTGTACAAATGTACACCTTAAGATTAAGTTAAAATTTGACATTAAATGCACAAGTAAGAAGTTGATTCATCCAGTACAAAGCGTAATCAATTTCGTTGCGGTCATTACCGAAACCAGTACACTTTCCAATATTCAAATAACATTAGAAATGGCATTCTTCGAAAAAGAAGGAACGTTAGTTAATGGCGAACTCAGTGTGCTATAGAAGATTTTTACAGAAAGAGACGATACAGAACATTACGAGTAAAAACGTGTTTACCGCTGGTCACCGGTAATGCTGCTACCACACGAATTACGTTCGACGACACGAATTACGTTTCGACGCCACGAAATGTGGAGTGACTCAAGAAGCGACATTAAACACGCCACGAAGATAGCACTCGAGACCACTCGAGACAGAAAATTCTTCCGACGACACGATGAGGGGGGTTTGGAAATGAGCTCTACGAAGTATGACTCGACGACGCGAACAAAGGATACCAATTTTGTCCCAGATCTGACTCCTCAGGCTAGTAACGTAACAAATTTAGCATGTAATGATGTACATAAAAAAAATTTTAAAAAAAATTACGCGCTTCTGATTGGCTTAAAAAGACTGCATTCTTATGTAACACGAGAGCAAAGTTGTAACACGAGTGCAAATTAGAGATAGCGTGCGCACGCTTTCAAAATTTCGTCTGTCTTGACTTTCTGCGATGTTTTTCCTGCACATTATTTACAAGTAATAACACGAGTTATCTTACTATTTGGTGCAATAAGCACTTGTAAATTTTCCAAAGACTACAAATTGCACTTGCCCTACGGGCTGGTGCAATTTTGTTGTCTTTGGAAAATTTACTCGTGCTTAAATATTTACACGAAATCGCACTCGAAAACATGTTATTACCTATACTTATTAAATTCAGAAGTAAATGTAACCTTAAATGTCTAAGGCTGTAATTATAGATTCGTTTGACAGACTTTGCAAGCATCGCTAACAAGGGGGGTATTGGGAATTGCGGTATTGCGGTATTGCGGTATTCTCCGAACTTACGAGGTGCGGTGTTTTAGCATTTTACAGGTATCTAAAATCATCTTTCGAGTCCTCCACGATTTCCGAGCCTTTTCCAGTTTCCATTTGTTTCGGAAACAGGTTGAAACGGGCCCTAACCTAACCTTTAAGGTTCTCTAATCCGTTAATGAATGTGTCATTATTTATTAGCCAACACGCCAACGGATGTGGTTATTTTGTTAAAATCGAAAATAACCTGACTTAACTAACGTTCATTAACCATCTCTTAATTGCTATATACTTGTTATTTGCTCTATACGTAACATACCGAATATTGGCTTTAGCATGACATCGAGTTTCATCTCGGAATTAAGTATTGCGGTATTTGGAAATTTTTTTCTTTTTTTTTTGCGATATCGCGGTTTTTCCTCCCTATCTTTTGCGGTATTGCGGTATTTAGAACCTTGGTACTGTAATGTAAACAGTTGCACGAATTAAAGCTACAAGTGTAATAATTTGGAAACACTTAGGAATAAACAAAAATTGTCCTTCGGTAATTTAAACGTAACGTAATTGCATTTTTTTTTTCGATCTTGCTCTGTGAATCCCATTCTGCGTAAAATAGCGCACACGTATAGTAATTTCCATCCCAGGGTCCTCCTTCCATTGAACCGGGTCTGAAACCGAGATCTGGCCACATCCAAAAAGGCGTTTAAGCGTTGGCCATGCGCAAGTGGATCAATTTTTCCGTCCACGAGTCAGTTTCAAAGGAAACCATAAAAAACAACCACTGTCTCGCACAATAGTTAAAACGGCATTCCTAGAAATCTGTAAAAGGTAAAAAAAGTCGGAAAATGGAAAACTCGAGACTTTTCGGACACCGAGCTTATTCAAATACAGGTATGCTATTGATTTAACATTCTGTTTTAAGCTTTACCGAAAAGGTTCTGAGTTTATTGAACACCAACTGGCTTGTGTGATTGTTTGTAGCTCATACCGACATGAAAGCACACTTTCAAGTCATTACAACTTGGCATGCGCGGAAGGTCGACCGCGCACTGTGTAATTGCCGCTCTTGGATTTTTTTCTCGAACCTTCCGAACCCGATCCGCTGGGCAAAGGTAACGGAGCGTCTAAGAATGCGATTGACGCAGATGGTTTGCATAATAATAAGCGAGTGTTAGCGGCAAAACGAAAACGCTGAACGAATACTAAATATAGCGCGCGAAAATGCGAAAATTAGAGCTCCGCAATTACGTGCTACGGTGACCTTCACCTGAAATTTCACTCATGACCATGCAGAAACAGCAAATGCAACTATTTTCACTTCCGGATAGAAAAGGACGAAAGCAAACAGTACTACGTTCGTTCTATTTTTCGTTTTCCACTTATTCTAATCGTAATGTTAATGCATCGTTTAAAATGACTTAACTTGCCGATGTGAAATAACAATTAAAACAACAACAGCAACAACCGAAAGTTAAAAGGAAAAGTTTTTAAAAACAGAAATCGATATAGGACCGTGCCGCAAAGGGTTCCTGTGGCTAACTTTAATAATCGCCTTCACGAGAGAAACTAAAATTTCGCAGTGGCTTGAAATTATCCTCCTACAAATCCGAGGCGGTATCTTCGTCCGATGATTTTCAAACTACTGCGGACTTAAACACTTTGAACTCTCGGAGTAATTCTTTCATAGACTTTCTTTATTTCATTGCGGGTGGCTCCACGTTTCTGGCTTTTGAAATAGTAAAGTAAGCCGAACACTTTTCTCCAAGAATACAAGGTTTCCCTTGATTCCTTTGAAGTTTCGCCATTAGTACACAATAATCTGCAACTCTCAGTTGATTTCACCGGGAACTTCGAAGTTTTGTGTCGTGCTTTAATCTAATACTCACAGGTTTCGTGTTTGCTACTCCCGTCATCGCATACACTTCAAACGTATTTCACGGAAATTTTCACCGCTTCATGTCGACTTGAGTTTCCAAACCAAAGTTCTGCCTTTCCGAAAATTGGAATGACCTTCACATGTAACCTCCCTCTTAAAACAGAGGGAGTTGTGTGACGTAAGCTGACGTACTTTACCACAGGCGTCCGTTTACGTCAATGGAGTTGTGATCAAGTCGCCTCTCAACTTGGTGGGCAGTTTGCTAAGAACCATCACACCATAAGTATTTTTTTTTTCAATCCAAGGCAACGGTAGCTTGATAATAAAATGAAGAGCGTTAAGCAAATTTTGCGCTTCACTCCCAGAGTTAACATCAGCATCACCAACATCAGTTTTCCTTTCTGATTTCTGCGCGACGGACTTCGCCGAAGAGCAGGGTTTGCTCGTACTCTAGGATCTCCAAAACACGTTTGACACTTATTCCGTTCCATAGAATGTTATTGCGTTTTCAATACCTCAGTATTATTACACAAAGCTTTATTATTTACAACAGTAAGCCAGAGATGTATGACTTGGCGGTCTAACGTATGCCCATGTGCGAACGTTGCGATGATTAGTACTTTCAAGCTTTCAGAACCGAGTTGTCTCACAAGTTACTGACAACCATACGAGCTAGTAAGTCATGGAGTTTTAGAGGCGTATAACTCTCTTGATAAAGCTTAAAACAGAATAGTAACTCAACAGGAGTAGCTGTGCTTGAATCAACTTTGGGTTCCGGAAAAGTCTCGAATTTTCCCTTTTTCTAGTCTTGTTTCCTTTTACGTTTCAATTTCTTCCTCTTATTTTGTTTGTATTTTTGTTTCCTATGTTTTCTGAGAAATATTGCGCAGGAAATTGGCGTGCAGGTGCCAAAAATCGGCTCACTTGCTCATGCCCGACGTTTGACTGCTGTGTTAAATTTTAATCAGTGTATTTCATAACAGTTTTCTCGTAGTTGGCATCTATTTTCTGGAGTTTCTCTGCGGATAGCACTTCAGGATTAGGTTTAGAGAATACACTTGGGTCTCCTTTACTTATTATTGTTTCCGCGAATAGATTCATTATTCGCAGTTAGAAGAGGTCGCTACACCGCGGATTCGATACGTAATAAGGTCAACGATTAAAAATAATTATTCGACCTTCTTCTCAGTGGTTTCTCTTGAATTGACAAGGAAAAAAAAATGTTCGAGTTTATCTTTTCAGTTAGAATGTGAAATAAAAAAGGGTTAAATCTGTACTCAAGCCTATTGACCCACCAAACCGGAGCTTATCCCGGTTTCCATGCTGCACGAAGCGACCAGGAGTATCACTACTCCCCCCTGGATGGGATGCTAGTCCATTGCAAGGCTACCCCCCCAGCATTTTATGGGGCTTCCCTGACAATTTGCCAGTACCCACTGATACTCCTGGGTGGGGAGAGGCATGGGCAGAGTAAAGTGTTTTGCCCAAGAACACGACACATTGACTTGGCCAAGGCCAGTTTCTCGACGGTTCTGGTAACTTAACGATCTGTAAAGCTGTTCTGTTTTCCTTCAATACGGGGGTCATTTTCAAACTATCAGCTATTTACATTTTAACTATCAGCTGAAGAAAGAGAATGGACTGGTTTGGGTGCCAGAACCGGCATCTCTAGTCTAGATTACTATTTAAAAATATCGCTTCGGGCCAGTGTAGTTACCGGAGGCGGTATCTCGAAAGTCCCAGTAACTTAAATGACCCGAAGCCATAATTTAGAATCAAAATTTAAAGAATTGCGAAGCAGGTTCTAGCAGCCTAGCCGGTCCATTTTGTTTCTTTAGCTGAAAGTTTTAGCTTTAAATTTTCAGACTTTTTTAACATCATCTTAATAGAAACCAGAGCAGCTTTACGGGCCCACTAGGTCACCGGGACCTTCGAGAAACAGGCCACAGGTCTTTTCGAGAACCGGGTACCAGGTCTCAAACTTGGACCTCGCAACCTGAAGTCCAGACCAATGACCGCTAGACCACTACGTCACACAAAATGAAAGCAAGTACAAGTCCACATTACTTTCCAGGCAACTCCAGTAGTCCATTTTACAGTTGAGAGCTTGGTTGCCAAGCCTTTGAACAGGAATAAGGCTAAGGCTGATATTGTTATGATAGAAAATTTGCTGCTTTTCAGATGCAATTTACTTTGTTATCATGCTAACAAGATACTGGTCTCTATCACAACAAGGTCACCTTCAGCCTTTCTCCAAATCAAAGGCTTGGCAACTAAGTACACAACTGTAAAATGGCCAATTGCTGCAAACGATCACCACTGCCACCGTCTTGGACTTTAAATCCACTGGTTGGAGTGAAACATCGGGAAAGATGCATTAAACTTTATCTCACAATAGTTGGACAATATTGTTTACTTCAATTGTAAAATAAATATCCAAAGGTGTCGTAATTCTTCCAAACATAATGCATCTTATTAAATACATACATAATGCGTACATACATACATACCAACACGTACAACTAAAAATAAAGTAACCGTTGTCCACAATGGGCTTCCTGTATATCAACAAAAAAATTCTTTCGAAATTTTCCATGCTATGTTTGTCTCTCCTCGAGAGAATTTTTCGATTTTTTTTTTCTGAAATGAATGAGTTTTATCTTATCACGTTTCATTGGCCTAAATATATTGTAAAACGAGAACTGATCAAAACTAACTTTCTTGAGCGATTGTCGAAATGCAGCCATCTTTGGTTTACTATTGAGAGGTCAATAATGGGGGGAGGGGAAGGGGGTAACAATGTCTCTTGATACCAGGGTGGAGAGTTTGTCAAGAGTAGTCCTTAATCACCCCCGCACCATATCAAAAGCAATTATTTCTATGCAGGATGGTAACAGCTTGATAATGTGACGTAGCGGTTCAGTAACTTTGGTGCAAAACAAAGTTTTCAGGCTCAAGTTTTTTCTTTTGTGAACGTTGCTAAAAATAATAGATTTTCCACCTGTTCGAGTATCTGAAACACGTTAAAAAGAAAATATTTAAAGTTACTTCTTAAGTTTTCTTAAAAACTTAGTATTGCATGAAAACTTTAAAGCCCACTGTGGACACCGTCACGCAATATTTCCTGGTCACGCAAACAGTGACCTAAAAGAATACTTTTTACAGTGTGTGTTACCTTGGTGACCGAGACAAATTTTGTGCAACTATAACATTAACCCCTGTAGCCACTTGTGAACTACCGGAAAGCATGACGTAAAGTATTGTGCGAGACCTTTTTCTTTTGCGATAGCAAAAGATTGTCAAGCTAAAATCTTTGCCACAAAATATCAGCAACCATCTGAGAGGGGGCATTTGCCAAGCGTTCAAAACGAGATACCACCCGCCACCCTCGCATACGACTTGTAAGTTATTTGCTAATGAACACTTATTGATTAACAGCGAGAGAATAGAGCATTACGTCAACCTAGGGAAGGGGGATGCACAACTGCGTAAAAGGTAAAAAGATAAGTACATGCTAGTGACATGAAATAAGGGAGAATAAACTTAGAAATCGCAAGAAGAGCTACTCCTTGCACGTCTTCAGCTTTGCTTGTAACTTTAACTCCTATTCCTACTGTCCCTCTGCATACTGCCTGCTGTGTAGCCTCAACAAAAGCATGCTTTAACCCCAAATGGCAGATGTAACTGTTTTAAAACATGAATTGCTAAGATTCTTTATCTCAGCGGTTACTCTATCTTACTTTGTTGCTGAGAACCAAACCCAAACCGGCTGAGTTTACCACAACAATTGTCCCATTACTCGTCAACTTCCAAGATAAATTGCCTTATAATTATACGTAGTCAAGAGAATTTTAGTGGATCTTTTAACTAGATAACATTTCCCTTGGTATTTTCACCTAATCTAGTCTTTACGGTGTTAAGGGGTAAAATTATATAAGCTAAGTCACACAAGGTAAGATCAAATTGAAGAACTCCTTCACAACCACTGTTTCAAATCATTCAGCCAACAAATTTAGCCAGCATGCCATGTCCTCTAAAAGCAAGGAACAAGTAGAGGGGCACAAATGACAGCAAAGTGAGTTCTTGCCTGTTCACCCTTCTTTAAATCTCTAAAAAAAGTGCTAAACTGGGCACCTGTCTGGCAGGCTTAACCATTTCACATTGCCCTAGGTAAATGTGTTAATCTCCCTTGCAGCTGTACTCTTGGTCACATCGTACATCAAAATGAGAGGGATCACACTCAAAGGAGAGAGAGAGAGAGGGAGATAGTAACGTGCACTTGAGTGGAAACATTACAATAGATGATGTCATCATTAGAGTCGACAATGCATTTCTCTAAGGTTGTCAAAATGTCAGTCACTCCCACCAACAATCAGACAGCATGATCACAGTAAACAATGGCAGTGAAGGAGATGTCCAGTAAATGTAACAGTATACTGTAGGTGGCTTCTAGAGCACTTCACCCCAACATTGACATAGCTTCTAACTTAAATGTAACACACCTATGGCCACCATACCAAACTATGGTGAAGTGGACAGGGTATGCAAGGAATTCTGTCACATTCCAGTGTCAAAAAGAAACACTTCTGAACCAGACACCATTAAATTTTTGGCTTAAATTTGTTTCCATGCTATTTTGACTAAATAATTAATGTTGACAGTTATGACAATTACTTACAAACACTTGTATATTACACTATGATACAAGGTTCATTAAAGTACTAGTCGGTACAACAATCTTATATTTTTTTTTCTTCTGGGGGAGGGAGGGGAAGCTATCTAACATTAATTTTTTTAAGGAGCAATCATTTTTTCTGTTCCAAATTTGAAGAACAATTAAGGTAAAGCAGAGCCAGAAAGGGTAAGATGCAAAGATTACTCATGGAAAAAGTCAATATTGTTCAGTGAGAAGAAGCTAAAGCAAAAACAAATGACATGCTATCAAATCTACCAGATTGTCAGTAGTAGCAGATAATGCACCAAACAATTTGAAGCTTCAACAACCCCTCCCCCCAGCAACCCACAGGGATTTGACCCTTGTCCATGTGCAGCAGTGTGGGGAATATGAACCATGCTAGGTTGGGGTGGTGAATTTGAAACAGAAGTGTCAAGTCTTTCCAGCTGAATAAATGTGTTACATCTTTAAATAAGGTGTTTAAGGTAAATAGTTCACCGTTGCAAGCAAATGGTTCAGAAGAAAAGGTAGTCTCTAAGTTTTAAAACTTGGTCAATAAGTAGAAAGTCATGGTTGCTTATTTTGCCTTTAAATAAAAATTTGGGTAGGGCATTTGAACTCAATTTTTACCCTGGGGGTGGGGTGGACTTTGAAGAAACCAATCCACAAAAGTTCAAATGCCCTGAGGGTTGCCTGAGGGAAGGAGGAATGTTGTAGCTTTGAATTGATCAATGCATAACATTACAGCTTTTTGAAGAGCTTGACTACTAGATCATAAATGTTTGCCCCATCTTACAATTTCAGGGGCAAATGTGTGGAATAAAATTTAAGATGTGACACAAATTTAAGGAACTATGAACTGTAGTTGTAAATGAAAATCTAGCAGAAGAAATGACTGCTTAACTTAAGGTCAACCCAAACTAGAGAAATTAGTAGCAAGAAAGAAAAAGAAGCAAGAAACATCATGAAAATTTCATTAAAGGTTATACCATTAGGTTAATTATACAATTCAAACAAATCTTTCATTTATAGAGTCGAAGAATGGCTTAAAAATGATTGTTCCTTAAATATACTTTTTTTTCATAATAGCAATAATATTATTATTCTTAAGAAATAAATTTTCCCTCTGCAGCTTACGTTGTCTTTTGTCTTTTCCTTGGTGGTCCTATTAATGGTGTCTGTGTCGAGGCAAGAACAGCTTTGAAAACTTCTGCGATGAGGTGAGTATGGTCACTTATGAGAGTTTTCCATCCATTGGACTCCATCACATCTGTTGCACGGCTATGATGAGAAGAGTAAAGAGAGAATAAATATGAATGGACACTACAAAACTTGTGTTTTAAGACAGCTGTGCTTAAGTTATTCCTGCTTTTGAAAAACCTGCCAATTCTTAAGCTCCTACCATTTATAATATTATTTATTATTAATATTCATAGGTTCTCATGTGCCCATAATAAGCTTGGGTGCTATTCTAGGTGGGTTGCAAGTCAGAAGTAAAACTATTACATGAGCTAATCTAATAATATTGTTCGTAGGACAAATTTATTGTTGGAAAAGAAACGAATTTTCAATATCAGCAACATCACGTTATGCAATGGTCCTGAAGAATTTCCATGATACTTAAACAAAAAGAGCATTTTGGTAAAGGTTAAAATGCGCAGTGGTCAAATTTGCTTTCTACTTTGTTTATTTCTCCCTCAAGATAGAGGGCTAGCTGTTAAGCGATTGTCATTAATAAGATTACTAGCACTACACAATGTTCTACATAATTATCAGTGAACTTGCTTTGCACCACACTTTACATGGTACGAAAGATTTCTCTTAGAGATGGGCAATTCCTCTTGCTTTAACAAGACTAGTAGATTTGGGAGAATGAATAAAGCAACTTCAGCTGTATCTCTCAAAACGGATCTCTACTTTGTAAAAAAGGGAAACCACCCACCCCACCTCAGAAAAAACAAATGCAACATTCTCTGAGGGAATGTCCATTGGTTACCTTTTGATGAAGTCAAGTGCTTGTGCCTTGAGTTGTGTTGCACTATGCATGTCAGCTAATATCAGAATGTCACAAACATTGTCTACTGTAAGATTCGAACACAATGCCTCTTCACACATAACTTTGAGTCTATCAAGGTCATACTGAAAAAACATAGGTAGAGACAGAAAAAATTAGTAAAGAACAAGATTCCACAAGCTGTGAATTGACATCAAATTATCAGAGAAAAGGGGGAGATGGTTGAGTTAGGGGAGAGGACCACTTACTCTGAAAGAGACAAATGTACCATAAATGTAACAGAGTGCAATGAGATGTAAGAAACACTCCCACAGGTACATGTAGTCAAGTGCAATTGAGGTGAAAAAACTTCAGCCATAACAAAAACAGCAATACAGGGAAGGAAGGTTGACATAGTTGTAAGGCACAAGTCCAAAGGAATGCACAGGTACACATATATATGAAAGGCCTTGAAGGCAGTGTTCCAGGGGCTTTGGTTCAACTTGAAAGAACATAACTACATTGTATTCATGAACAGAACTTCCCTTGGAGGAAAAGTATGAGCAGCACCTTCCTAAAGGAAATCTGTAAGGAGGGCCAGCAAAAGTTCCCCTTTAGGAAGAAGTGCAATAATGGTCTAATCTGACCATTCATAAGAGAAGGACTGTTGTTGGTATTAGAGACAAGTAAAGAGTTCTTTGTCAGTCAAGCGTTCAGTCAGGTCTGGTTGGTGTACATGTAAAACTAATTGGTCAGTTTTGCCACGATGTTGCAACCAATAACATCATGGCAAAACTAACCAATTACTTGTTCACACAAACCAGCCTTATACAACATGTACCAGTGGACTGTCAAAACAACTCTTCACTTGACTCTGATGATAACTTTTTCTTGGGTAGTTGAACCCTCAGTTGCTACTATCCACAAAAGTATGCCTAAGGACTACTACAACCTGGACAATTAGACTACACCATCAACTCCTACATTCTAACCAGGCAGGGGAGTAAGTGGCCTTGTACTTTGTGTAAAGGGGTAAGCTTCTAAAGAAGCTTTGGTGCTGTGTAGGTGAGAGAGTATAACTGGTAATTTAGCGTTAACAACTGAGTTGAAAAGGTAAATTGGCCACCATGAAGAGTTATTTATTGCTCTGAAGAAGGGCTAATACTCAAAATGCCAGCCTTTAAAACTCTTTGAGGTGGCCAATTTGTTTTCAACTCAATTGTTGACACTAAATTACCTTATGCTTTGTGGGCTGAATCTCAGCTCTAGAAGTCTGAGTTTGGGACTTGACTGGGTCACTGCACTGTGTTCTTGGGCACAACACTTTACCAGGAGTACAAATAGGCATAGGCAAATCTTCAAGGAAGCCTAATGAAAGGCTGCAAGGGAACCTTAGAATGGACTGACATCCCACCAACTGAGAGTGGTAACACTCCTTATCAGATCTTGTTATGGAAACCAGGATAAGATGGATGGGCCAACTGGCCTGAGTAGAGACTTCAACTACCTACATTCTCCTAACCATTCCCTGAAATACGTATGTATAGGGCATTTCCCTAAGGAAGCACAGGACAGGCACATGAAGGCATATAAGACACTAAGATTAATGATCGTGAAAATCTAATAGAAGACAATTGGAGAATTAAAACATAAGAATTAAAATAAAAGTTTTAAAGTCAAACCTTATCTGCAGCAGCTAAAAGATCATCTGCCATTCCTTGAAGTTGCGGTGTACTACCAGTGTAAACAAACTTTAGCATCTCATGAAACACATCTGGATCTATGTCACTTATTTCTACGCGACCTTTCCTACTTTCTTCCATTTCATGTTCAAACATGGCCCCAAATACAGGGGAACGTGCAGCCAATATAGCTTTGTGAGCTTTAAATTCTCGGCCCCTAGTACACAGTGTCACATCACTGAAGGAGCCAGAGTCTAATAATGATCCCATGTGTCTGGGTAGTTTGCACTCTGGGACTTTGAGTGCTGCTGTGTGTGATGAACCTGATACATTCACTGAGTCACCTTCAACACTGACCTGAACATGAGGAAATAAGAGTCATTTATTGCCAACAAAAACAGACGTAACTGGTAGGATCAGTATCAGTATCTGAGAAACTGCCCTCCTACCCCTCTCCTAGCCCAACATCAACCTGAACTTGTTATCAGTTGACTGCTGTTGCATTAGGGAAGTGGTACTAGGGTGTGTAGGAGCTCAGAGGCAGACATTGATACAACAGCTACATGCATTGATATCATTTGCCTTTCTTTAAAAAATACCAAACTACTCCCCTTAAAACTGTTTGTTTTTTCCCTGGCAAAAACAAAATTCCCTGTGTGTTCTTGAAAGTTCAAATTTAGACCTCAAAAAAAACCACACAGCTCAGAGCCTAGGCCAAAACAGTTGTTAAAAATTAGCCCTGTCTGCCCATCCTTTTGACAAAACTGGAAAAGGTTGGTTAATTAATTAAGCAAGTTAAACATACTAGATAGAAACCACATACAAAAAAACTGAAATAACTAACACCAATAACACACAGCACTGTCATTTGAGTTCATGTAACAATCAACATGAAAAACAAAACAAAAAACTACTGACAGTAGCTTATGCAGTATACAATCAAAACTGTGTGTACCTTACCTCACAAAACAATGTTAATGTATCATTTGGTAATAAACCATTAGCTTCATCCATTAAAAAGTCTCTTCTTATAAACTTCTTAAAACCCCAGTCTTTACCTTGAACAAACCGGTAAGCTCTTTGACTCTCTGCAAACAAAAGTATTTATAATGTTTGTTACTGATAATACCATACAATTGGGGAAGTGCTTTAAAAATAAATCCATACAATGTTTTTACCAAATTTTCCCTCCTTAATTATTTGGATACAAGATTTATCATTATCTCTTTTAAATGTTTAATACACATCTGCTATTTTAAATGATACCATACAAAACTAATGTAAATTATTGCAGATGTAAGCATTTAAACATCTTAAGTAGAATTTGAAATTTCCAGCTCTGACAACATCAATACATCTGAAAAAAATATTTCTAAGCAATGCCTTTACTTTTACCAGAGAAAACAATAATTAATATTAAAATTTCACGCCTCTATTTGAGCTAACAAGCTTAAATAGTATTCTATAAATAAAATGGGTTTATATGATATGCTGAATTATACAGTCACACAATTTGATTGTTCTTACTTATGATCTATTGGAAGGGAGACCCATAGATGACATCACCATGAACAACATTTTGCTTTTTACCATTACATGCAAATAGATTCCATATTGGCAGGGGTTCAGTACAGTAACAGAACACAGAAGACATCAAAGTGTGGTTAAAGATTCAGTAACTGACTCAGCGTCAGCTTGTGTACCTCTCTTCTGTCCTTATCACATTTTGAAGTCATCTGTGATCTATTACTGAACAGATGGACAGGAACATGGAATTTACTTGTCAAATATTTCATAGCAATTTGTAAATCTCCAAAATGTAGAGTATATGTTCCTCAGCCAGAAAAATAAAAGTTTAACCAATGTTGTGCATACCTACTACACTATGCTACATACAGTACATGTAGGTGAAAGAAACTTTCAGAGAATTTTAGTTCTACATGTATCACAATCTGCATGTAACTCCACCAAATGCCAAAGAAACACAGATACATCCTTCACCGCTCTTGGATAGACCATATTCAGCCACAAAATTTCTACTTGGGTCCATTTACATTGAATATTTATCACTTTCACTTCCAAAATCTCATAAGCATTTTCCTCACTGCTTTCTGTTACATTCTTGTTATTTTAGTTTGGAGAACTTGGTCTTGGATGTACTAATAAACCCCTACAACTAAAGATTGATGTTTTCTTTATTCTCATCACTTGTCTGCTTGGCATTTTTTTTATTGATATCATAATGAGATATTCTATCTTGGTCATTAATGGGAGTTTCAGGGTTAAACATGGGGTATCAAACCATCACTAACTTCACATCATTAATGGTCAGTAGACAGTCACTGTACCTACCCATAGCCTTTGTTTCTTCTCTGTTAGCGTTAAGAATTGAAAACTTGAATTTTGCTCTCACTTCACTTTTGTTACAAGCAAGTAAGAGAAGGTATAATGACAAATAGTCTTTGCTTTCTTCATCTAAGCCTCTTGGGTTTACTCTCAAACACCTGTTGAAATAAATAATAAGTTTTCTGCTACTTCTTCAGGGGATTTTAAGCAGAAATGCAAAAGTTATGCATTCTGATAATAAAAGTTCTATTTAGTTTGAGTAGATGTCTTGAAACTGCTTAATTAAAGACACATGTACATTATTAGCCAACTTCTGTCTCCTTCTTCTCTGTCAACTTCTTGACCTTTCCAACTCAAAGATTATTCTACTGCAGAGCTTCAGAGAATTGGGAGAAAATAGATGTTATGATCTACTTGCTTAACTTTTTTCTTGTGCACTGACCAAGTATTAAATGTGAAGAGTCAAAACTACACAAGGTACTTGCCCAAGGCTCTTGCTTTTCTACTTTCTCTCACATGATCCTCAATTTACAAGACAATGTACACATTATAAATGGATTTCTTACCATTTCATCTTATCATTGGCCCCAGCTGAGAATGTTGAGCTTTTCAGTGTTTCCCCCATTTCCTCGCGGCAAAAGCTGAAGTTATTAATTGTCCACATGTAGGAGAACTTTATAACTTTGATTTGAGTGTAACACCAGTTCTCTGCTACAGGTGAGGATGAGGACATCTTAGATGACTCACAACAAGAAACTGTAGCCAGGGTGAAATATCTAAAAGAATGACAAAAAAATGCTCAGAGCAAACCCAGAGATTAAGTTCTTTCACCGGCCAAATAAGAACAGAACTGAAGTAGTTATCACAATGAGACCATCATGATTGAAAGTAATACCAATGAAACAGCCTGAGGTGAAAAAGAGTGTGAGGGAAAAAAACCATTAGTTTCAGTTTTGCATCTGATTGATTCAGAAGCTTAAGTGGGATTTTGATTGCCATGACTGTGACCACATCTCCAGACCACTTGTAAATAGAGGTAAAAATTTCTACCAGACATTTCTAAAATTCTCCAATAAGGTTTTGACTAATTATGTCTCCAATTAGCAGAGTAGAATTTAAGTCTTCCCTGTCTGAGATTCAAATTGTGGCATTTTATTTCATGGAACAATGCTAACCCCTCAAGGAAAATTAAATTGAGCAAGTCAGACATGCAAAACATGACTGAAAAGAGAAAACAAAACCATCAAAATATGTGGAAAGACAAGCAACCTTAGTTTCATTTAGCACAGTGCACTCTACATGTGGGGTTTTCAAACAGGAAACCTAGCATTCATCAGGACAACCAACTTCCTTGGTTTTGTTACCCAGCTTTTGAAACAAGGACATCTTGACATAATTCTAAATTTTCAGTACAGCAAGTGTGCATGAAAAAGACTCGTACGTTAGTTCAGCAGTCAGATAAAGAAATGGCAAAGGTGAACCTTTCTCTTCAGTTTTTCAAGAGCCAGTCAAGTGATCAACAGATGTTGCAGCAAAAGCAAATCACAGGGTGCCATTACTCAACCTGGCTTAACATCTGGTTTTTCTGAGTTGATTTAGTCAACGCATGATACTCCTATATTTTCTTCAAGTGAGAGTGTTAAAAAGTTACACCGCAGTACAACATAGAATATATTCATTTTAGAGTCCTTCTGCTCATTCACCGGTATTAAAGTCAAAATTGTAAATTAGCCGAACAATGGTTATTACAAAAAAAAAAAAAAGCAGAAAGAACTTGTACAGTTTGTTGCTACTTCTTACCTCATCTTCTCAATCATGAATTTACAGAATGATGGTGTTTCGGATAAATTTTCTGCGCTAAACTAGTCTACATGCAAAATTCGTACCTGACCTTTCTTCACGTGATTTAAAACAAATACCATTAAATAGGTTTAATGAAGGCATAGCAGCCCTGGAAATGTCCCTAAAAATCCAGATCTTTAACGCTAGCACGTCAACATCTCGACCCCCCGAAAACCCCCGTTACATTGTTCAAATAAACTACAGAACATGAATCGACCTTGAAACGCATATGTTCTTAAAGATGATTAGCTAAGCTTAGTCTTACACATTCAGCGGAAAAACGCTGTCATCAGCTTGAAACCGCGACAGCTTTACGCTATTTTCGAATTGAAGAGCAGACGGCATAAATTGCTGTAAGCGAACTGAATAAGCCAACCGGAGGCTCCGTAGTACCAGAGTGCCTCGAAGCTCTCAAATTAATTTGCATTCACTACACATATACAGGAAACTTCAATTAAACACGAACAAAATACAGGAGCACACGCAATCCAGCGAGAAAAGCACAACGCAAAATAGGATTAGTCTTTCAGGTGACAAGTTCGATGAGAAACACAATCGACAAATGCGTTTATCACAAAATGTGACTTTCCTGAACCAAACGAACGAGTGAATGAACAATGAAATATCTCAATCGACGACTGTCTCGGAGAGCACCGCAAACAACCGGAACTGTATCATGGAACGAAGGCTAACGGCCGCTCGAGTGTGCCTTCCGAACGCTGTGAAACTGCGCTTTAAGGCGAAAACGGTAAAAGCAATTACCTTTCTGTAGTCGCCAAAGGAACAATTCTGAGCCTGTATTATCTTCACGGTGAGGTAAAAAGGAAAACAAAGTGAGAATTTTGCGACTCGTTTCAAGTCTTCTCGTGTATTATCCGGGAATGTTGTCGCTCGGTTCATTGTTTGTGCGCACGTACGGAATCACGACCACCGATTTATCCCGATCTAACACGAGCAATGATTGGATAATATCGCTGGTACATCTTTGTCTTTTTTTATCAGACGTTTTAATTGGAAAATAAATTGACATAGAAAACTTGTCAAATGTCCTCTAATACATTATTTCTCTTCGTTAATTTCAGATGTCTCGAATGCAGTCTGGATAAACAATTCCAAACTGACTCGGTCCAATTGTTAGTTGAAAGGATTCAGTTTCACATCTTATGTTATACTGTCTGAAAAGAGCCCTATATCAAACAACAGCCAAGATAGATAGCGAAATTGGGAGTGACAAATTGACAAAATTATTGGAAGGAAAAAAGGCAACTTTCGCATGTATTACGAAAAGCAAGCAAGCTCATACTGTAGCTTTCGGGTTAAGAGCGAAAGGGAACCTTTTGGATAGAAAGTTTACAAACTGAAAGGATCAGCATCCGATTGATAAAAATTGCTCAATGACAGATTACTTTCAAGAAAATTATGTTGGTTTTTACGTAAATGCTTTCCTAGCATAACTAAAAAACTATTAATAAAATATTAGACGCGAGGTGGAATTTGTTTGCCTGCTTATTCCGGAAATTTCTCTTTCTGACTCTAAGATACTAAGCGAAGATGTTGGTTAATACCTGCCACAGATGAAATAGGCAAAAATTCTAAAAAAAAAAGTATGTTCTGAAAGTGTATTACTTCAAGGTCATTCAAAAATCTCAAAACTGCCGCCGGAACTCCCTGTTTTCTAAAAACAGCGATGATTGGTTACTCATAGATGACGTCACTATTTGGAGGGAAACCGCCATATTGGATTAAGATCATCATGTGATTAGGGGATCCTTGGGTCGAAAGTGTAACTCTGGAAAAAATTCTCGAGGAAGAAAGGATCGATGATGGGGTTTCGTTGTTATAGACTGGGATTGATATTTTTTAACATCATATATTTGGTAAGGCGAGTCTTTTGTGGGTTATGTTCGATGAACGCTTCGTTGCAAGTGGCTACATGTTCAATTAATCAGCGTTCTTCCTTTTCAGACATAAGACTATCAGACGAAAATGTAGAATGAATTATTACCATGAATGTGGTAATTTCGTAATGTGCCCTAGTGGAATATGTTGTATAAAAATCGCTTAAAATTTGGGCAAGTTTTAAGTAAATTCTCGTGTGAAGTTGAGATCATGAGCTATTTTTGTTCAATGACATTTTAGCTAGCGGAAAATGAAATGTTCTTTCGCAAATGCGTATTCATAATTTAGAACATACTATGGAAATTACAGAGTTGAATCAAGCAGTCAATATAAATTTATAGAATTTTTTTAATTGACCTCGCAAGCTAGGGCTATGCCTCACTGAGTTGATTCCAGCACAATGTTCAGGGAGGAACTAAGATTCCATGTTTGGCAGTTGGGAAATTATGGGTTTTGGGAGCCAAAAAGAAAAGGAAGCTGACAACGTTAACCTTTGTATGGGATAGTGAAGGGCTTTGAGAATGCAATGCAAAAAAGTATTAGACCATTTATAATAAGCTGAATTATAAATACATTTTGATAGGTCTTTTCTTATGATCTAATGGAGGACAGAGGCATAGATTACATCACAGTCTGCAAAATTTTCTTCTTAACCCTTTAACTCCCAAGATCTGATTGTTAATTCTCCCCTCTAGTTACAGCACATTTCCTTGTAAATTAGTTATGAGAACTTGGTGCTAGATTAAGGTAGCACCTGATAAGTTTGAATATTCACATCGCTGTTTGCTGAATAATTTATGGATATTATTGGGAGAAGTTTCATGTTATTCACTTCTGGGAGTTAAAGGGTTAATTAGATTGACCCTTTACACCCTAATATCAGTAGTCATGTTCTCCATCCTGTTCTCTGTACATTTACTAAGGTGCTGACAAGGAGAATTTGTCTAACAATCAAGAGTTTCTTAAGTTGGTGACCAGTTCTTTTATTCTAATGACATCAATGTGTGACCCAGGGGTGATATTGTAAGGAGAAATTAGATGCTAGTCACTCTTAGGGGATGTAGGGTCAAGCAAAAAGATTCCTAGTTTTTGTGTGTCTGTTCAGTCATAGATCACAGAGGATGTCAGAATTTGGTAAGAGCACTAGGGACCCACTCAGCTGCAACTTCTGTGTCACTTTTTTGTTCTTACCTCATTTGATGTCTTCTGTGTTCTAGTGCTGAAATCAGTAGACATATTCTCTATACTGTCCTCTATACATTTCCTAAGTCGCTGATAAGGAGAATTCGTTTACCAATCAAAAGCATCTTTCATTGGTGATCATTTCCTTTATTCTCATGACCTCAATGTGGGATTCAGGGGCGATATTGTGAGGAGTAACTTGATGCCAGCCACTCCTAGGTTTGAAGGGGTTAATGTGATATCTGAATAACTACATGTGGTCAAAAACAAAGAAGAACAACTTTTTCAGATCTCCTTTGTACAAAAGCAGACTTATGAGCCATTTGAACTTAAGTGTTTTCTCTATTCTGTGTGCATGATGTTAAAATAACACTCATATTTCTTTAATAGATGACCAATCCCAGATTTTACCCTCTTACTCAACCCTTTAACTCCCAAGATGTGATTGTTAATTCTCTCCTCTAGCTGCTGAACTTTACCTTGTGAAGTAGTTACAAGAATTTGTTGTTAGATCAAGATAACTTCTACCTGATAAGTTTAGATATTCTCATTACCTGTTTGCAGAATGATGTGCAGTTATTATAGGGAGAAGTTACACGATGGGAAAAAGGGTTAATCTCTTTGCACAGTACACATTGATCTAATTCCTCTCTCTTTTCAATTTATTTTTTTTTCAGATCATAGGCTTTGTTCTTATACTTTGTCCAGCCTACTCCAAAGTTACAGATCTTTTCACCAGTTGGCCAATAGTAGGAGGCACCATAGCATGTGGAGTGTTTATTATGCTGGTTGCTGCACTTGGAATTTATGGTGCTGTTAAGCATCACCAGATAATTCTTTTCTTTGTATCCTTTTCATCTTTTCTTATGGATTATCATGGGCTTTCACTTTTCAGGATGTTTTTGAAAATGAATCACAGCAAGTTTGTGTTGTTGTTATGCTCAACTCAGGGTCAAAAGCTCAAGTTGAGTCTGGCAGATAAATTGTGAGAGTTGTTTACCAAAAAAAAAGTTTAAAAATTGCATTCTAGATCATCTTAAGTTAAGCCATGTTTTTTACGTAGACATTGATTTTTGTGAAAACTATCAAGAAAGCTTTTAACTAGCACTGGAGTAACTTCTGTTTACTTTGAACAATCCACCTATCACAAAATGTCAAGTTTTCTACCAGTTAAAAAATGCATGGCTAGAGTAACCATTTACACCCTAGCATAATTATGTACATTCTCCATACTGTTCTTTATACAATTCCTAAAGAGCTGATAATGACAATTTGTTCAATGATCAAGAGTTTCTTTAGTTGGTGATCATTACCTTTATTCTCATGACCTTAATGTGTGATTCAGGGGTGATATTGTAAGGAGAATTTAGATGCCAGTCACTCCTAAGGGTCAAAGGGTGAACCTCTTACACCTTTTCAGCAGTATGCATATCCCATAATTATGGTAATCTATTTAGCAATTATCCCTTTAACTCCCAGATTAAATTTTTAATTCTCCTTACTGTCAGCCATACAATTCTTATGATGTTAGTTCAGAGAATTTAGTATTGGATCAACTAATTATCTCTAAATTGAAATTTTTCTTTATTCTCATTACTCATCTGGTTGATATTGTATTGATATTGTAAGGAGAAATTTTGTCTTGGTCACTCATAGGAGTTAAAGGGTTAACCCTTTAACTCCCAGAAGTGATCAACACAAAGCTTCTCCCTATAATATCCTTATGTTATTCAGCAAACAGCTAATGAGAATATTCAAACTTATCAGGTAGAAGTTGTTGCCTTGATCTAACACCAAATTTTCATAACTAATTTACAAGGATATGTGTAGCAGCTAGAGGGGATAATTACCAATAAGATCTTGGGAATTGAAGGCTTTAGAACTTCAGACATAGTTTGACGCTACTCTGGTTAGAGTAGACCAGAGTAGTGTCAAACTATGTCTGATTGTCCACCTGGTTGCCATGTGAACTTTAATATATTTTGGTTTAGAACCTCTTTAGTTGGTGATCATTTCTTTTATCCTCGTGACCTTTATGTGTGTTTTATGGATGAGATTGTGAGGAGAAATTAGATACTGGTTACTTTTAGGGGTTAAAGGGCTTTGGCTTGAAGAAGTTTGTATCCTTAGCTACCGTCAGTTCATGGCAATCATGGTTATCTTGTTCATAATTCTATTATCTGTATCTTTGGCTGCACTCTCCATATCGTCAACTCAGAGGGATAACCTTATGTGGAAAGCTTGGAAATCTGTTAGTAACAAAACTAAAGAAGAAGTTCAGAAAGCAGGACACTGCTGTGGTTTCAATGCAACATACAAGAATAAAACTACAGATCACCCATCATGTAGTGGGGTATTTATGATCACATATTTCTTTTGATTTGAAATAGTTTTTGATTTGATACCAACTCATTGATTTGATACTTTTGGTTTGTAGTGGCAATGCACATAGATTGGACTCTTCCTAACATCCATACTTTTTATGCAGGGTGTTTACTTCAAAGAAAGAATTATTAGTTGGGTATACCTTGGATTAAATTTGTTACTTCCCCCAGGTTTAGGCAAATTTCCAGTCTTAGTTTTGTATTAGTATGACAGTCCGACAGTCCAATGTCATTTCTCTTTTTTTCAGCTTGATTGCTGTGGCGGAGAAAAGGCATATACCTGTCGCAAGTGTCGTACTTGCTATGGCTATTTGAGGGACAATGGCTTGGACAAATTAAAGAATGCTGTGGGAGGAATAGGTCTCTTTTTTAGTTTTACAATGGTAAGGGCTGATTTACTTCCTAAAACCCGTAATATCCTAGCATAAACATGAATATTCTCCATACCATTCCTCATACATTTTGTAAAATGCTGGCAAGGAGAATTTGTTATTTATAAGCAACCAAGAGCCTTTTAAGTTGGTCATTGTTTCCTTATTGTGACCTTAATGTGTGATTCTGGAGAAATGAAATGTTAGTCACTCTAAGGAGTCAAAGGGAAAAACTGACTCTGTGTGACTGATAGTAATTGGCTGACCAACAGATTAACATATTGACATGGCAACCAACTGAACAACTGAGTGACTTCCTTTGCTGATTGACTGACTGTTTGTCTGTCAGTCTGTTTGGCCAGCTGGCTGAAATACAATTTAATGCCTGACTAATTGACTCGCTGACAGAGAAACTGCCTACTTCTTGCTTGACTTACCTGCTGCCTGGCTGATAAACTGACCAACTAGAACAACCACAAACATCTGAGAACGAAGCTTATCGCCAGTCTTGTGACTAGTAGAAGTTTCCAGTTATTTTATGGTTAATTCATGTAGTAAATTACTTTATTTATTTATTTACTCTTTCAGTTTTTGGGAATTTACTTGGCTTTCCGATATAGGCATCTTAAAGATCCAAGAGCAAACCCCAGTGCGTTTCTATGACTGTAAACAGGTCCTAAAGGCTTCAGGACAATTGCCTTATTTACGTCAGCTTCAGCACCAAGAAGCCCCTTTGTTATCAAAGTTGTGAACAGTCTCAAAGTTTGAGTAGTCCAAAGAAAATTGCAGTCTTTTTTAGAGCCATACAGGGTGATGTAGAGTTATTCACTTTACAGGATGAATCACTCCACTGTTAACAACAAAACTAAATGACATACACGAAATATAAATGACACCTAGTCCTTTCCCAAGTTTTCTTTAAAGGGCAGGCATAATTTTTATCATGGTCATCATTATCATCTTTATCATCATCGTCATCTTTATCGTCATTGTTATCGTTCTTTTTTTCTCCTTACAGTATTGATTGAAAGTAAATGTAGATGAGATAAACTGAAAGGCTTATTTGTCAATCAATATGGAGCTGCAACAACCCCTCCCCTCCCCTCCCCTCCCCCCCCTACCCCCCCCCACCCTCCTTCCCCCCCCCACCCACCTACCCCAAGGCAAAAATTGCATTCTGTTATTCCAATGCACCACTCATGCACAATTTTTTATTGAATGATTCAGTTTGTGATCAATGAATGTTGTAGAATGTAGCAAAGTCATGAATTAGTTATGAGTACATGTTTTGTTTAAGTGGACAAATATTTCACAGGCAAGTTTTTAAAAACTCCCCACCTTAAATTTAAAATCTTGTGGATATTGCAGCTCAAAAGCTTTCTGTTCTTGTTGTATCATTTCAGAAAACTTTTTGATAAGTTGCAGAACCATTTATGAGATAGTAAGTTCATTTACAAGTGAACAAAATCTCATTATAAAGGGAAAGAGTTATTTTTTTATGATCTTATTTTGGAATTGACATCTAAAAAAATGTTAAAATGTAAGGTAGGCCCACATCAACTATCATGCCATAGAAATCTCAAGCTCATAATTTCATTGTTTAAGAGTCTCTTTTGTTTAAGTGGACTTGTTCACAGTTAAATTTCCATCTGTGCAGCTAAGCTCTGTTCACAGGAAAGTTTTGATGTTACTGACTGGCCAGCCTCTTTTTATGATCTTGGAATGCTGTGTAGTTTGACATACATTTGTAGAAAGCAAATTACTCCTATCATTGACTAAAATTTTGTCTTCGGACTTAAAAGAATTCTAGTTTGTAATAATAATAATGTGCAAAAAAAATTTCCCTATTTGAGATTTTTAAAAAAACAAAAATTCTAGGTTTTCATCAGGATGAGTTTGCACATTTGATCATCTGCTTTAGTTATTGTACAAATTGCAGAATATTTAGTTGTAGAAATAAACTGAATGTGATAAGGTTACTCTCGGGTTATTGGCTCAACTTTGTCTGTCATTCTCAGGAAAATCTGAAAATATTTTTAGAATATTACTGTGTCATTACAACCAGCTACTGAATGACCAAACAGCTAGAAATCTTGTTACTCAGTCAATATATGCTTATTTTTTGATTGTTTGCCTTTAATAATTATTGTGTTGTGATATCCATTTAGATTGGTCATGACACAAACAACATTTGGGAACAGTTTAAGTATTTTTTGCTTCACAAGTATGACTTTAAACATAAAACTTATGGGGATGATTTAAAATTGATGTCTCACTAGAGGGTTAGCATAGTATACGTTTAACAAAACTTGGATTTATTTTACTTTCTTTGCCTTACTGAGCTGGGTTGTTCAAAGCTGGGTTAAGTTAAACCAGGATTAGTGTGAAATCTGATTTCAGATCTGAAAGCTTAAAAAAAATTCAGTTAAATTCCATTTGTCTACAGTTTGATGATTGAATGCTCTAAAAAAGAATTAGAAAAAATATCTTAAAATGGCTTTTGAACAGAGAAATATAGAAACCTGGATTAAACCCTTGGTTAGTGCTAATAGACCTTTGAACACCTGGGCCTTGATCTGTAAAAATAATTAAGTTGTGTTTTAGACAGGAAGCTTATTGGACAGTTGACCCTGTAACTCTCAGAAGTGATTGACATGTAACTTCTCCCTTTAAATACATGAAAGAACTAACCCCTTTAATTCCTAAGATCTGATTGTAAATCCTCTCCTCAAGCTGCCACACATTTCCTTGTAAATTTGTTATGAGAATTTAGGGTTAGATCAAGGTAATGGCCTCCACCTGATAAGTTTGAGTATTCTCCTCTCTTGTTTGCAAAATTATATGTAGATATTGTTGGGAGAAGTTAGAGGTTAATCACTTCTGGTAGTCAAAGGGTTATGTGTTTTGACAGCAAACTTTTATACTTTACCTCGAATATTTTGAACTTGTATTTGTAATTTGTTCTTATTCAGAGATTTTTGCTTGTTTACCTTACATCAGTATTACTTCAAAAGTACAAAAACATAGCTGTTACTAAATTGTACAGTAGATTGAATAACATTATTAGCAATGGTAAAGTATGTTCAGATGATCAATTGAAGAGTTACAGCTGAATTTAGGTAAACTTTTGACTAAAAAAGTATTAAACATCATTCTTGAAATGTGAACTGAACCAAAGTTTTGAGATGTGTCAGTACTCTTTGATAGAGTTCAAAGATACTTTGACGGGTGGAGGTGTACTTAATCCACTGACCCCTCAGAGTGACAAGCATCTAATTTCTCCTTAACACATCACTCTGCCCCACCACCTCTCCTCCCCCCCTCATCACACATTAGGTCATGAGAATAATGGAAATGATCAGCAACCTATGATGCTTTTGATGGTGAAAAAAATTACTATTTTCAGCATTTTAGGAAATGTGTGGTGGAAAGTGTGAAAAATATATTTCTACTGATGTTGGCTGTGAAGTGTCAAGTGTCCACATATGGTTTCAGTACTTCTAAATTCCAATTCTCCACTGGAATGCTGCTTCGACACTTTTTTGGTTGTTTCATTAGTAACAGTTAAAAGGACTGCCCCTTATGTACATGCTGTGATTATTATTTTGACATTTTGGGTTATCATAGCAATACAGTCTCTTATTTTAATTTACTTTCATGAACATGTTGCTGAAAACAAGTTTAGTGACCTCCCATCTTTTACTTTTTGAAGTTCAGTTGGCATACAAACCATTGCACAGAGTGAAACAATTCTGTATTTTCAAATCAGAGCCACCTTATTTATTATTATTATTATTATTATTATTATTATTATTAAAGGAGGCTTAACTTGTGGCAGATATAACGTGCTCTCTGATTGGCTAAGTGGGACTATATTCATTTCCGGGAAAATGGCCACTGGATTGGCCAAAGCCACATGCACAACACACGTCCATTAGCAAGAAGGAAACATCTGGCCGTCGGTATATGGAAACATCTGGCCGTGGGTATATCGTGTGGGGTCAGATTAATTACGCTCGAAAATTTGAGCTTTAGGCTTTTGAGCGTCACCCCTAAAAACGTGGCATTATGTCGAAAATCATGCTAAAATGTTTCATTATGCTCAATTTAATTGTTCAATTAATAGCTGTAGAGAGCCCCTCAACCTCCCCTTCCCCCATTCCCACCACCAACAGGTAAAACATGCCTAAAAAAGTGGCTTGCCGAATTTCAGAACACAACGATTTACTAGATTCATGCTACAGAATTCATCTCTTGTTGAACTGTAACATCAAGGACACTTTTGAGAAGTTTGGTCATTATGCCGATATAGCACCTGATGCTCTGAGGACTATAGCATTATGACCAAAATTATACCGGCATATAGCTTATCTGACCCTAATATCGCGCCGATGTCGCAATGAATAAGCTGTGGACAAACAAAAGCCGCAGCAGAAAATGAATGAATAAACATCAGGTCGGGTCTAATAAATCTTCGGTCCAGAAAGGACATTAATATAATGACTGAAATTAAGTATTGCAAGGGACGAAAGCTGTTAAAAGTAGATTTTTAAAAAATCAAGAACAAGACGCCAATAAATGGCTGTCTCGCGAGAATGCGCTACAGAAACAACAATCTTTAAAGATATACTGTATTTCCTCGAATAAGAACCCACGCTTTAATAAGCGCCCACGTACCCTCGAAAAGGCCCCCCGCTCGGATAGGCGTCCCCCTAGGTGAGACAAAATATCAAACAAACGCCCCCTCAACTTTTTAAACAGAAGAAATTCAAGGAAAACCTGTTTCTATTGCCACTTTAACTTTTTAAGTTTCAACCACAGCTAGCTCCTCCTTTTAAGCCGAAATTTTAAATAAATACCCTGGCACTCGTTAGAGGAAATCCGTATTTGTTGTTTCACTCTGGGTTGAAAAGTAAGTCTCGATTTGACGCGCACGACCCACTTTTCGCAGCCCGTGTCTCCACACATCAAATGTGATCACACTGAAAACTGCAATTATCGTATATTGGTCTCGTTTCAAAAACTGGTTACGGAACATCGTGGGGTTACTACTTTCTTTTGTTAATCAGTAGTTTTGACAAAGAATGCCGTTTAGTTACAGCACAATTGCTTTTGTCGGTTCACGATTCGCATCAATAAAAGTTCAATAAACTGTAATGTTCAATTTGCATTCCCATGTGGCAGACTTAAAAGCTTAGCTTTACGAAATTGAATAATTTAACGTACAAGGGATGCTTGACTGGCTTTCAAATGTACAAAATAATAGTTAATCAGTTTTGAAGGGTTCTCCAATTTTCACTTCGCTCTGAAGAACTTGCTGATTCGGGAACTGCAAGTTGGCAGATGCTGTTCTTGCTTGAATAGTATTTGGGAAGATGAGAGTTGTTTTTAGGTAAGTTGAATATGAATCGTTTGTTTACTATTCTTCACGATTAGTCCTAAAACCGCCCTATTTATTGTACAAGGCTCTAACTCAAAGTAACACACGATCGATCTAACGGTATTGTTTGCTGAGATTTGAAGTACGTCCCTAATCTTCATATCAGATTTTTAAAGAGTTGCGTTGGGTGATTTCATCCCAAAAAAAGCTGCATTCCGATTGATTATATGCGAGGTGCTGAACTGGAAATAAATTCCACTGAGGACTAATTTCAAGTGTTTTAGAGGAACTTGAAGAGCTCGTTGGCTTTCGTAAATCCAACGCATCGCACCAGCATTTGACGCTTACATTGGAGATCACAACGCGGACAAATAACAGTCAAATTAAAGTAAACTGGAGTAAAAGAAACAGTCTCTTGAGAACTGTCTCTTAATTAAAACAACAAAGCTGAATTGAATATGCCCGATTTAAAAAATTTTGTTTTATGGAAGTGTGACTGATTATGGCTCATGTAAATCACAATTTCAATTCTTTCGAAGGGTTTGCCACTTGTGCGAATGAATTTCCCGTTGACTGCATGTTAAAAAAAAAAAATTAGAATGAACGATATTTTTAAGTTTGATGGTAGAATGAAAACCGAGTGGAAATGAGTGCTAAAGAGATTGGGGTTAGATTTTGGCTTCAGCTGAGAGTAGACTGGGATAGATTTTAGCG